TGGAAAAATTGACAGACTGCTGTCTCAGCATATCTAGCATACACATGCATTAAAGCATACCGAAGTTCTAACACAAACAGTCCGACATTAGAAATGCAGTTCATCATTGATGGTGGAACAGGCATCCCACCATTTTCTGAATCTACAATTCACACCACCACCTAAAAATGAGGACTGTGAGTAAAACTACATGCGCAAGAACACACTGTATAAGTTACTCAGCTAAACTCATTGTCTATATAAGTACTCAAAACAATTTATTGTTACTATCTGAAGCTCTCTGGCGAAAACACAATTCTTATGACAATCACAAACTTATAGCACTCAAAGTAAACACATAAGAAAAAAACTTTTAAAATCAACATACAATGTAACTCTCTAACTTCAGAATTCTCAACATTAACATTATCAAACACTCAACATTAATGATGGATACAGTGAAAGTGTCAACTGTCTGAATATCAGAACTGGACTTTTTAAAATAAATTCCCCTGACTTCCAGGTAGACTCAGCCTTAAATGGGTATCAGATAAAATCATGGGAAGGAAAGGCAGCCGGCTTGATGCTGAATATATCACCCACCGAGTGCCGACTGGTCTGTAAAATGTCGGTCTAGCCCTATATGCCCAATAGGTCTGAAGGCGGAGAAAAGGGTCTTTTACTAAAGTAATGCCAGAAATAGAGATTTAACATCTATTAGAGATCAACAGAGCAATAGCATCTCAGAGAGGGTACTTACTTACCCAGGCATTCCAAAAGATTGCTGAAGGGGTTGAGATGCTTAGCCGTGTGGATGTGGGAAGCAAGGGGAGACTAACACATTAAATATCTTTAGTTACTCAACATGGAAGCCTAAAAAAAAACAAAAAAAACACGATGATGGAGGGTGCAGCTTGTGGAGGGCGAGGCAGGGGTCGACCTCCGCAAAGATGGATACAGGACACTGAAGATTCACTGGCATTGAAAGCACATGGGGCTGAGGAGCTGGCTAGGGAAAGGGATACTTTATGCCTGCCGTGAAGAGAGTGACGTTCTGCAAAGGACTTGCCGATTGCTGATGAGAAGACAGTGGATACACAGACAATGTTAAATGTTTCCGTTATCTGGCATGTTATCTGATATGTATATAGATCATTCCCCATACATTCTTTGAGTGACAATCAATACCTGTTCATTTATCTGAGAGTTTAGAAGCTGCTAGATGAAGGGCTGAGAATATTGGACTCTCATTTGGGAAACCTAGGTCTGAATCCTCAGTAAAGTGACTTGAGTTTTTTATTTAAAAGGGGAGGGGGGGGGGCACACATAAAGTCCTAACCTGCACAGTCAATTGCAGATGCATCAACCATGTGACTGTAAATCCTCAATCAAGAGGCCACGCCTCCCCTGTACAGTCATTAATGATGATTTAAAAAAACACACCAGAGAATTATTGATTAACTGATAAGATACTTTTAGTAAAAGAATTCAAGTATTTCATACAGGAAAGGTCTGCAGCATATGTATTTTCTGCCTACAGTATAGCGGTGGGGGGGGGGGGGGGTTGTTGACAGACTGGCTGCTGCCACTCCTCTGAGTGGTGATTTACATTCTGATTAGTCAGACAATAAGAAAGCTCTCTGGTATCAGGAACATAGGTCTGCAGCACATACACAGCATCCTCATCTGCTAAGGCTAATTCTGCAGGGAGTAAAAGTTAGTTTACAGGATGTTGCAGAACCAACCCCAGCATTTTTTGGCTGTTGTAGTTTTTCTAGGCAAATTTTACCTTCAGTAGTTTGCCACTGCTTTCTGAACGGTCAGCTCTCTGCACCACTGGAAAAACCAAGGCAAGACAAACTGTCCATAGCTGGGATCCAACCCGGCATTACGAAGCACGTTCACAACGCCTAAGCCGCAGAGTAGAAATATTCTATGTAATAATTTTACATGTGTATAGCTAAGTTATCATGACCGACTATCTCCATAAAAAACAAACTACATTTCTGGTGGCAAGTGTTGGCTTTGGCACTTCTAGCAACAGCCGTATGCATTTAAAAATGCAAATTAATTCAAGAGACTTTTTCCTTTGCTTCATATGAATATGTTTTCAAAATAAACAACCAAACTATAGTCAATAGTAGCCAAAAGGTGTGGCGAAAATGAAAAAATATGAACATTAAAAGTAACATGGAATTTATAATAATTTATTTCTGCAACATCCACACTAAAGAAAATAGCAGAAAATTAATAATTTGTATCAAACTTTATCAAAATACAACAGCATATATTTTAACAATAGGATGAGATTACAGAATATAGTGAGCGTTAAACTGTCTAACATAATCTCTACATGTATTCCTCTCTAACTTTTCTATTGTCATGACATACTTCACTTTTCCCCTTCTCATGTTGTGCCCAAGGAATAGGGATGGTCTTTTATGATCTGGGTTATCAGTTCTCTGTGTAAACTAACTGCTTTAAATATATCTTCTACATATTACCTTTTTTTTCATGTCTGCAGTGTTATCAATCTTCTATAAAACTACACCCCTCAGTTGCCACATAGTTGTATTATTATCAAATTTGGAACATTTGAAAATTTTTTTATAAATAATGTTGCCAATATCTAATTAGTGCACAAAATACTTATCTAGAACTATATAAACAGCTAAGAAACACAAACCTACAGCACAATGTCATCCCTTTCATATTTCTGTAAATTTACCACCATCAGGTAACTCACAGTATGTTCTGTTACTATACTACACATGGTCTAAACTGTCTGTTCTGCTATTCAGTTACATTAATCTCCTACATCTGAACTGTTTAACTCCTTCAGTGTCATACTCGTAATAAAGAATGCCCCTCTGATGTAAAAAAAAAAAAAAAAAAATAAAACAGACTGTAGAGTTAACAACTGTCCAGGGCTGAAAGAGTTAGAAACTCAGTTCATCCCATTATGAGACTCATAGCAGCATTCAAAAAGCTGTACCCCAACCATATCACCGCTGTCAACTGTCAAATGTGTGAATAGTATCATGGAAAATAATTAAAGAAATGACATAATTCTTGCTGAAATATCAGTACTGGTTTCCGGCAAAGGATCAATCATAGCAATTCACTTCATACAAAAAGAACAAGACATTGTCAGAAATATCACTTTTCACCAGAATATCACGCAGTTTTTAATTAACAACCTAATTACCAGGCCTCATCAGGATTCATCTGGGTAATGATTTGACATCACAGCATTCAGGACAAGCCTATATTCACTCTGTCTCCCTCCTCAACAGCCAGTAAAGTCCCCCCCCCCCATGATTGGGGCACAGAGCCCACAGACACTACCCGCTGTCATCTGGTTAACTACTCATCTTACCCCCCCCCCCACCCAGTTGTGAGTGGAGCCCAGAGCCCACCCGCTGCAACTTTTCAATAGCAGGCTCAAGAGTTCTTTTGTCAATATCTGATCTGTGCTGCCAGGCATCCCACTTTAACGGATGAGAGGTGGCTGAACCAGGGCGCGCTCGGTTGCTTGGTATGCTGTGGGGGTCTTAAGCTGTTACTGACCCCTTCAATCACATGTGCTTCTAGGTCTCCCTCTGCCTCTTTTAGTGTTTCCATATTTATGTTCAATTAATTTATGAAATAACAAGAGTTTGTTTGAATATTACTTTATATTTTAAGAAGAGAGTAACATCTGTTAACAAATTATATTTTAGAGAGAGAGGGTTTATACTTGTTTGAAAACACAATTTACAGAATAGTTTCTTCTGCTTTTATCCTCAAATGGGTGGTTGGTATGTTCAAAACATCTGATGTGAGTAAATCCTGAGTCAGTTGCCTACTATGACATGCTTGTTAAGAGGCAGCAAATCTATTCATCCCTCTTCTCCCCTCCCCAGTTGGGCAAGGAACTCACACAGGAAATATAACAATATTATCCCCTTTACACAAGAGGGTTTAAAAAAAAGAGAGGCAATTTTGTGTTTTGGCAGGAATAAAGACTGGGTGTGTCTGACATCACCAAATGTATACTTAAGAGTGATGCGGAATTAGGATTATCCATCATGGCCCCAATCAGTCAAGTGTCGCAGAGAACAAAAGGTCATACCTGCATATGGATACACCCCTCCACATAATGCACCATTGGGGAACAGTGCGCCACAGTCACCTTCCTATGGTCGGAGAGAATCATCTTGGAAGTAAATCAGAGACCCACAGCCCCTTAACAAGCATGTAATAAGAGGTGACTAATCAGATGTGTTGGGCCAAAAGGTGCAGATTTTGCAGCCTAGCTGTAAACCCAAAACAACAGGCCAACCTCTCTTGTAACGGCAATCGCAGAAGAAGAAATTCTAAACAATATTTCCTCTATTTGAATTTCAATAATGAGACAACAGTGCTTTAAAAAAATTGTAATGAGAACATAAAACAATTTAATCCACAGTTGACTGCTTATCACATTTTGCAGTATCCCTTCTGGAGCATACTGTGAAAATATCAAATGTATTCTGTTTCAATCAACGAGGAGCCATCTCCACAATAAAGGTTGGGTGCAACATGCTCCCTCTTTCGCCCTGTTGAAGACTCTCTCTCAGACCATTGTCTGTCCACCTCTTGCTCACCTGCCTTGAACTGTCCTCTCCAGTATGGTATTTATAATAATTAAAAATAATAATTTTTCAATGTACAAAATATTTCATTTTGTTTCTTCATTTCTTTCAGCAGCTCTCCTATTTTCTTCAGTGCCTGGGCATATGACTGTTTTTTACTGTTTTTATTCTCATTATTTAAATTGTTGTTTTAGTTTAAAAGAGTTAAAATAATAAACCTCACTGAACAGTAACAATTGGGATGAAACTTGAGGAGACCCAAGGAGTTGTGAAAAAATGTATGAAGGTAGTCACCAATAACTCATGTAGAGTTGGTTGGTAATTAATGAGCTCAGTCATGCCATCATTTAATGTTATCTGGCAGCTCTTGTTTCCAATACACAACTCTTCTGTGGGAGAACATGTCTACTGCTTGGCTTGTGCTTCGTGGCTTTCCTCTTCAGTTTCAATGTGCCAGCTTTTGTCACTCTGTACAGTTGGGTTGGCTGGTCCCAGGAATGCAGCTCCAGATATTGCACTTTCAGAGCTGAGATATCTGGAGAGGAACAAATATTGATCACAGTATAATAGGAGCAAGCAAGTTCAAGTAAGCATTTTGAAATCATGCATCTTTCCCGTAGCAATTTATGGATGTGAGTCATGAGCTCTTGATCAATCGATAAAGAGAAGAAAAAACAACAGGAGCTTTCGAACTGAAATGCTTCAGAAAAATTCATAGAATACCATGGACCAGGAAGAAGAAAAACATCGACATCCTGCATGACGTGATCATCCAGGAGAATTGGCTCATAAACAGCACCCTGTCCCAAAAGCTGAGGTACTCTGGCCATGTTAAATGTCACTGTGGCCTGGAGAGAACGGTGACAGTGGGTATAGTTTCCAGAAAATGAAGCAGAGACAGATCTCCAAGAAGGTGGATACAAGACACTGAAGATGCATTGGCTATGAAAGCAAAGATGGCTGAGAACTGGCTAGAAAATGAGAGACTTTCAGGTGTGTCGAGACAAGAGCAATGTTCTGTAAAGGACTTGATGATTTTATCTTAAAACCTCAGAAAACCCACGGCCAATATCAGAAACTTGAAATTGAAGAAACAAATATGCTAGATATCTTGATATCATCGATCGATCAATCAGTTTGACCCCGCTGAGCTACTACCTTAAGGTTTACCATATGTCACAGACCTCTGATTGACCTTGATGGCCGTGGCTTGTTTGGTGGGCCTCTGACAGACAATCTACACCTAGCATACACTGAACCTGGATGCACATAGAGCACACATGACAATCTTTAATGTAAAGTACAGATTAACAAAAAGACAGCTGACTTCATGCTGTATGGCCACCTGTTACTTGGAACCCTGGCCAAGCGAGCTTTACATTAACTACACTCGCCAGTGCGTTCACTCAGGCGAATCTCCAGGTTTGCAAACCACACCTCTGCGGGATACGCTCTTTTCCTTGTCACTGGACCTCACCAGGATCGCAGAGCTTATGTTGGGTGCAGGGCCAGTGTACCAAGGCTAGAAATCATCATTAAAAACCATATCTCTACCCGATTCTACTGATCAGAATATACCAACACTACTTACGTATTATGAAACAACACAACACCTATCGCTGCTAAATGCTATACAACACAAAGAAGCTATCCTACCATAATGTAACACTTAACACAATCTATTATTCTAAACCTAACGTTCTACATGTGTCTAACTACACACGTCCTTCCTGTCTCAAGTCTCCCAGTCGAATGCCAGTGGCCTCCCACCTCGTGACTTTTGTCAGGGTCATCTCGCTCAGTTTTGGGTCATGCAACAAACATGACAGTGAAACTGCCAAAAAGAGAGTTCACTCTTTCAGCACTTAATCGCGGTCATCACTGGGTCTCGCTGAGCAGTTGTTTCCCCTAGGTATCAACAGCACATACTTGTACAGTCAGGCGGTCCACCGTGCTGACCTCTGTGTCAACTCTGGGTTTCTACCCATACACACAGTACACCATCTCTATGGTCTACACCGCCACATGACTGTACAAAACAGGGTTCTAACACTACCATTTTGAGAATTAAAAATCTCAGCGTAGACGGTAGACCAACAAGGCAGATCCCAGATACTTTGTTCAATCTCCAAGCAGATCCCAGATACTTTGTTCAATCTCCAAGAAGATCCTATATACTTTGTTCAATCTCCAAGCAGATCCTAGATACTTTGTTCAATCTCCAAGCAGATCCTAGATACTTTGTTCAATCTCCAAGCAGATCCCAGATACTTTGTTCAATTTCCAAGCAGATCCCAGATACTTTGTTCAATCTCCAAGCAGATCCCAGATACTTTGTTCAATTTCCAAGCAGATCCCAGATACTTTGTTCAATTTCCAAGCAGATCCCAGATACTTTGTTCAATCTCCAAGCAGATCCCAGATACTTTGTTCAATCTCCAAGCAGATCCCAGATACTTTGCTCAATCTCCAAAGAAGTTATATTCAGGGCACCTCTAATGGCTTCACCAGCCAGGTGTAACCTACAGCTTCTACGCGGGCAAGGGCCGGATGATATCAAAACATGGAGAAATCTTCATTAGAAAATACTGGCAGAATGCAAGACAGCAGGCTGTCAACATACACAATGATAAACACCTTTGCAGGGTTTATAACATCATGGCAGGGATTATAACAAGAAAAATGCATTCAAAATAATCTTTGCTACACTTACAATTCTGTAACCCTCTTCAGATCCTCATTTGTCACTTTAAACAGTCTGTCCCGGTTTTTCTGCCGCATATCATCAGAGATGTCGTAAACAAACCTGGTCTGACCCCGGCTGCCTGGAGGAACTGGTTTATCGATCTAAGACAACAACAAAATCATCAAGTATTACTGTGTAATTTTAGCTTAAGGAAGTTAGTTCTTCTTCTTTTATGTTCCCCTGGAAAAGGGCAGCTGACACCTGATGTTGTGGTTTACAGAAAGGCTGTGATATCTGTGTCCTTAGGCCCAACACATCTAACTTCAGCTACCCCCTAATTGGTCATCGCTTATGACATGCTATTAGGGGACAGTGTGTCTTTTAATTTTGTTTACTCCCAGAACCCACATGAGGATAAGAAAGTTCAAAACTTTTGAGCAGTGGCCACAGAAAATTGTATCCACATACATGTGTCAAATTCTGGACAGTGATAACTAACTTTAGCTTATGCGCAGAACTATCTGCATACATCTTTGTACATATTCTTGAAATTATAAGAATACTCATAAATCGCTGAGATTCCTCGGACTCGGACTTGAGTTAGAAGCAGAACACAGCAGTTATGGGTTACTACCTTTGCGGCATGATTTTGATCCGTTGTTCAATCCTTTAAACACATAATTCTACCTACAATATATGTGTGTACATTTTGATGGACCCCTGATATCCGCCACATACTGAAAATTATGATGTACAAGCAGATCTTATGTATAAGCTGACCTCAAGATTCTTAGCTCAAAAGTTAGAGTTGTGCCTATAATTTTTTTTTAACCCACCATTCAAGTTGACCCCTAGTTTTTAAAAGACTTTTTTAAGGCTTGAAAACTCGAATTTCAACTCCGCAATTTATGGTAATTCTGTTCACACACAAAATAACCTATCATTACACACACATATACAAATATATATTCTTGAACAGTGATAACTAAGGCATTTAATTCTATCTTTAAACACCTGTATATATGTTTAGATAGTGATGAGTGTACACATATGTACATATTCGAAATTGTAATAACTGATGCATTTTTTAAATAATTCTACCCAGAAAGAAGCAGGGGGTCTATCCTTGTACACAGGTCCATGTTCGTAGTGGTCAGGTCATTTGCTTCGCACTCTGAAATTCTAGGTTTGTTTCATGGACGTATTGTTCAGTTCACAAGTGTGTTTTTGTGGGGATCCCTGGGTTGTCACTAGAGCTACAGAGTCTGTACTTTGTGTGCTATCAGGAGGTGATTAGCCATTCTGCGGAGAGAGACCTAACCATATTTGATAATCTGGTGCAATGAAGTTGATCCTCTCGATTTTAAACGTTAATGCTCATAAATGCACCAGAAAACCTTTCCGAACCCACCTTCTGAAAGACTTCTAATTTTGCCTCATCCACATCTTCTGCAGTGTACTCTCCCTTGGTTGCCCAGGCTATACACTGTTTGAATACATTCAGTGTCTCCAGACTGCGTGGATCCCTGCAAGGGGGAGAAAAAAACCAGAACCAAATGTATAAACATGCATACAAGCTTGATCAACTATTCCCCCCACATACTCCGCACCACTGGGTGGTGAACTGATACATGACAAGGCACATGTGGTCAAGGTCCTTTGGGAACAAGCAACAGAGTCAGTAGAGAAAGAAGATTATTATGGCCTGGAGAGAATGAGGCACCTGGGTGTAACCAGAGGATCTGGCCGGCTCACTACACTCAGAGGAAAGGCAAGACGGGCATATACCCAGATTGTGACCGGCACCATCAGAATTGGAACTATGCGTTGGCTGCTGAAGATGAGTGTCGTGAAATGATAGCCATTACGCATCGGTCTGTAAGGCTGATAACCTGTCTTACCTGTAATCTGCACATAATTCAAACTTGGACTCGCCCAGAAATATATAGTCCCTTATATCTATATATATAGGCCTGTATTGGACAACATTATTATGTCTGCCTTTTCTGGTTACTTTAACTAAACTCCACTTTTAAATGTATATCTCTTGGGGATATATTTAGGGAGTTAATTGAGGTTTCTTGGAAACCGATTTACTCCTTGCCCCAGTATACAAGGGACTTCTTTTGTACCAACGCCTGAAATGTCTAACTGACGCCATTCTCCTTGCCAGCTTCTCAAGCCTCCAGATGTGTTAATCTGTGCCTGTATAACTTTCAATTTTCAAGGCAATCTGGAAATGTCTCAGTTTTTACATATGCTTGGGTAAGTTAATTATAGTTTACGAGTACCTAGAATGATGTCTGTAAAGTAGTCACTGCTGTAGAGAAATCCGTATCGGCTGTGTGATTTCACTTAGTTCGACCGTTCTTGATCGCTAGAGAAGCGGATCCGAACGTAGATCTTCCACTGTACAGACTAAATAGCTTATGCCCTCAATAAACCACCCATACTGATTAAAACTTAATACCCTTACAAGTGTGTACGTTGTAAACTAATTAAAGAATCTGTACATACGAAATGGGGACAGAATTGGGTCAGGGCTGTGTTAATCAAAGTCTGTGTGTGCTTGACCCAGATCAATGAGTGCTGGGGCGGTTGGGAAAGCTAGGGAATGCAGGTACTGACAGTAAATATTGGTGTTTGTGTGCAGAGTGAGAGGGATAGGGAGAGTGATATATGTGTTAGACCACTTTATCTATCTCCACTGTATATCTGACTTGCCTTCTCTTGCACTAAACAGACAGATAAATATAGGAGACTTATGTCTTTTGGTCTGGAGAGGCAATCTGAGGAATGAAACAGGAGAGCAGGGAGGAGTCAACAGATGGGGGTTGATGACTGATGCTTGCTCTGTCTTTCCTGTCAAGATGTTACCCTCTTGATGATGACTAATGTTGAGTTATTTTCTTGACAGGATGTATATTTTCTGAAGAGCTGGCAGAAGATTCACAGTCTCACCAACATCCAACCACTATCCAACCACCAGAACCAACTTGTTACCCACCAGCTAACACCTGTGAAGGTTCCTGACATCTCCAAAATGGGGGAGATTGTGCCTCAAACAGCTACCAGTGCTAGAGCTTAATGTGGCTCAAAGACATTGTGTGTCCTTACTGGTGATAGAGACTTGCTAAATACCAGTACAGTTGCTGTACAGTGAAGTACTCTTACTACTTGATCCAGTGGAGCAGAATTCCCAGAGTCAAAGACAGTCAAATCATCCGGAGCTGAGGGAGGCATCATAGACAGAGATAAGAGAAGATAAGTCTAATGCTTCGCATGATGTTGTGTTCCTCACAGCTCCCTGTGTCCAGTGATGAAAAGATGTCATCTCTAAGACCTTCTGTCTGTGTAGTGTCTGTTTGATTTGGACATGATATCCTGAGATCTAGCATTTGTCTCACTTTTATATATCTAATTTATATTGATTACATACATTCATTTTCATGGCTGACTTAGGTGTCTCTATTTCACCTTTTTAAGTGTTTAGCAGTTGTGTATGTATGTGTATCTTCATTATATGTGTTAACATGGTTATGATAATGAACTATCATAACCTGGGGGCTTTCTTTAGTAAGTAGTGGGGGTGTCCAGCCAAGTGTGCCTAGAAATATTATCTATATATATATTGACATATTTTGTAGTGCCAATACTTGAGTTGCCCTACTCCAGAGATAAGTTGATCGTATATTGGCCACGGGGAATCCCTTAGACCAATACGAGCCAAACGACTCAACATAATTATCTCTGAGTGCTGCTGGTTCTGAAGGAGAAATCCTTACATTAGGCACGCGACAGGAGTGATATGTGACAATGAGGAAGGAGCATGCATGGGAATGCTTTGAGCGCTGTGATGTCAATTCTTGACTCAACTCAACTCAAATTTGCTGGCACATGAACTGAACAACCACGGGGTGGCTCGTTTGCTACGAAACTGGAACTGTGATTAGCTGATACAGCTTCTTCTTCTTCTCTAGTCCTGTGTTGCCCTTTAGCGTCAGGTTTTGAAGAGGCATCAGGTGAGAGCCTTGGTATATGCTGGGTAGATGCTGGTATTTACCGCCTCAGTTATTCCATCTATCCATCACTATTTTGATTGGCCCCTGGAACTGCTTCCATTATGTATAAGTGACAGAGCTCTATGTTTTACACTGACTAGGGATAGTCTTGACACATGACCAAACCATTTGATCTATTGTCTCATGATGTAGTCCTGGTGCTGATCTAATTTCTTTCCTGGTATCCTAATTTCTGATACAGCTTGGACTATAAAATAGGTTCAGAAAATATACTTTATAAATTTTTTTTTTTTAATGGTCCATGTTGGTAGTCATTTTCCCAATCATTTCTGACACAGATGCTCTCCCATGCCATGTTGTCAAACTATCCAGCATCTGTCTCCCTCTGCTACCCCAACTTTCCCACTGTCACAATGTATTCCAGTTTTATCCTTCTCATGACATGACCACATAATGTAGACTGTCTCCTACTGCAAATATTTTGCAATAGTCACATTTGTTTACAAATCACTGAACTTGTACACTGTAGATTGAGGGACATAACATACAAAGGGAATCTTTACCTGTAGGAGAAAAAACTGAAAGCCCCAGAGTTGACTCGGGCACCACTGCCATATGCACCTCCCTTCTCTCTGAAACGATAAATGAGTAATAGTGTTAGCCTAGAGAATCTCTCACATTTATAGGCAGGCAGGCAGAGAGAAAGGGGGAGGGGGGATAGAGGAGGGAAGAGAAGGAGCATAGAAAAAGGGAGAGAGATAAGCAGAGATGGGGGGATGGGGAAGGGACAGAGAGATTGGGAAGGTTAAAGACAGAGAAAGAAGGAATAGGAGAAAGAGGGGAGAGGTAAAAAGCTGTGCAAAAACATTAAGTTATGAGGATCAACTTCCCAACATAGGGTTTATACTTGATGTTTTGCTATCTATCCACAGAATGGACAGCTGGCTGCCGAGAGTGTCACACAAAGCTGAACTCTGTAGCTCCTGTAACAATCCCCTGGAATCTTTGTAAAATTGCATTCATAAACCAAACAGCACCATCTGTGGAATAAACCACTTATTATACGTTCTTCTTGCTTTCCTCTCTTTTTTGAGTGGGCCAAATCCTCTTGTCATTTATTGCTGCATCATTCTATTCAGACCTATCAATTTTTCCACACTGTTCATGTGATCACAAAGGGCCTTGACCACGTCTACCTTGTCATCACCAAGTGGTGCAGAACCAGCCAAACTATCAACCTTTTAGTTTCCCAACACACCAGCATCCCCTGATGAAAAAAGAAAAGATACCTAAATAAGCCTTTACAATGGCAGTTTACTGTAAGGAAGGTAGTCTTATTTTGAAAAAAAAACAATAGCAAAATCATATATAAGGGAGAAAGGCTACCTGATTTCTCTGTGCAAAAACTTCCGTGTCATCAGTGTGGCTAGAACATTCAACCTGCAATCAAACCACCAAACATTATAAAATAATGAAACATCCATATCTACAATACAGTTGAAAGAAGGAAATCTACCATTCTCATCAAAAACAAAGAAATAAAACAGAAAGAAAGAAAAGTTAGGGGCAAGTTATTTTAGAATAAACACACGGCAGTTTCCTACTCTTAAGCCACAGCTGCACAACTGTTATCTACTTGACTGTCAGCCTGATGGTCTTGTGTTCAAATCTATCTAAGCAAGATTTTAAAATCTTTTTAATAATTTGTATTTGTTGTTAAAAATGATCTGGTCGGCCTAGCCTAAAACAGGCAGCAGGAAATGTTCATGAAAAACAGGCGACCAGCAAAACTGATGCTGACTATATCACCCATCAAGTATAAAGCTTAGTGAAGTACTTACAGTCTTACATTAAACAAGCTCCAGTGAATTTAAGCGACTTAACAAAATACAAGCTATGGCTAGGAAGCTCCCCAGAAGGAAATGAAAAGATGTGCACAAATACAACAAATTCTGATCAAAGCCCTTATCAATAAATAAAACAACAGGAATCATATACCAACAGCATACAACTGGGAATGTCACAGAAGAAAGTGGGGAATGAGAAAATAGGAACAGGAACAGCTTCTTGATATTAGTTCACCTGCAGTCACCTTTATTTCTGACCTCAAGATAACAGTTTACCTGCGCAAACAATATTTTAATGTATCTAATTTTCAGGAGCTGTGGCAGTGTACTGGCTAGACATTCACCTGCTATGCTGAAGATCTTGAGTTTGAATCCATTCTGGTGGATTTAGGAGGGAAAATTGACTTCAGCTCCCAAGTTGGTAGCCTAAACTGGGGACCATGAAATATCCTCAGAATTAAAAGTGGCCGGCCTAATGTTGACTACATTGCCCACTGAGTGCCGACTAGTTTATAAATATATTTATACTATGTAAAAAATGATCCTTTACTAGTTAACTAGCTAAGAATGTTTTGGCTGTCCTTGAAAGTGGAATAATCTTCTGTATTCGCCCTTAAAGTATTACCTGGATGTTTGCCCACAAAATGGTGGCTGGTGCAATGTGCTGTGGTTTACAGCTAGGCTGTGATATTCATGATTACTTCCAAAACATGTGAATTCAGCCAAACCTTAATCAGTCACCTTCTATGACATGCTTGTTAGGGTAGCAGTGCGACAATTTCATTTCCCCCACATGGGAAAAAGTCACATACAATTATTAGAAATAAAATCCTAAAAGACACCCAGTAGACTGAGCATTCTAAAGTCAGAGAGTTTAGGACATGATTAAGAGAGTCAAACCTGCTCCATTACAGAAAACCTAAAGAGGGTACACCTAAAAGAGATGTGCATTTTCAAGTCAGTAAAAGCTGGATGAGGCTAACGGAATAAAACATGATTAAAAACTAATGTTAATTGTGAAGCATTATAAAAACCTACGGTGCAAAGTCCTTATGTGCGTACTGTACAACAGGGTAACTGAGGGCTACGTGATTGACAGTGAAAGGTAGTTCATACTGGGTGCTGTGTGAGGTGGCCTTGATCTGATCAACCTGATGGAGATAACAAATACAAGTGACATGGATATCTGAAGTTACCCAGCTTGACACAAAACAGTGATACACCTGAAGAACAGAAGTACTACAACCTTTATACGTGACTGTAACGAACTGTAAGGCCAGAAGTGACACACTCCTGACACATAACAGAGAAATATTTTAAGTAATACAATTTTTACAAGTAACAGAATTAAAGAATCACTCAAGAATGTACATCATTACACTCAGGATATTCCAACACGTGCTCCATCTCCTTCCTCAGTAATCAACGAAGAATTGAAATGCTAGCAGTACCAGCTGTAACGTGATTAAAAGTCTGCCTCTGTTTGCCCTTCAATGTTGAATATCTTCCAGATTCTCTACACACCCCTGTTGAAATAGTTTTTCAGTGTATGGATTCCCTATCTGTTCTTTTGCACACTCCATTTGATACCATAGAGCCTTTACCACATCTGCTTTATCATATAATAGCTCACCGCCCAGAGGAGCAGCTGCAGCTAATCTGTCAGCCTGCTTGTTACTATATGCACATCTGAATATCCTGGATAGAAAATCCATGGTATGCTCTTGAACTGGTTCTTATCAAGTGATGAAAGCCACTCTGGTCGCAGGACACCTGTTTCAATTTTCCGCATGTACTGTGAGTCTGCTACAATCACCACATGTCGGCCTGTGCTGTTCTCAAGCCAGGTAACAGAAATATCTTTTAAATAATATAAATCTGACACACAACAGATAAATATTTTACATTATATAAAATTCCTATAATAGGGATATATTTTAAGAAATACAATCTTCATAGGTAACAGAGGTATATTTAAGTAATACAATCTTTTCATATAACAGACATGTATTTTAAATTTATTGTCTTCAAATATAACAGAGACTTATTCGTTATCTTGCTGTGCCATTAAATGTTACATACGGCTCACTGTTCTATTCCTCCATTCCATTCTACCCTGTAAAAACAATTCAATATCAAGGGTGGAATTCAGTTCAACACTTCTGGCCTCTCTCATCAACGTTCTTTTTAGGGTTTCTTTTGGGCGTCCTTGCCTCCCTAATCCTTTTTATTTCCTATGTGAGTGCCTATTTGGTGATTCTCTGCTGGTTTCTTCTCAGCACAGCGCCATCTTCTCTGTCTTATAACTGTTCCTACTAGTGGCTGCCCAGACATTTCTAGTATTTCTTTACCCATCTTAAAATCATCTCATTTTATATTTATTTTCCTCAGGCTTTTGTTTTTGAATTCATTTAATCTTCTGTTCCACATCTTTAGTGGTTCTCCAACTTTCACTCACTGGCATGTGATAAAATTGAAATAACATTAAAGATAGATTTTAGGCAATAAAATCTTTACACATAACACTGATCTATCTGCACAGCAAGGGAACTAATGCAATCTGGCCAAAGAAGCATAAAATACTTTATAGGAAACATTTTTAAAAAGCCAGAACTAATTAAAAAAAAATTAAAGTTCCATGTGTGCAAATGAAAATTCTGGCTGGCATAGGAACTACAACCGAGTAGGTTAGAATTTTCCTACAAATATTAGCTGGAATTATTAAGCAATTTGTTTTTGTCAGCAATTTTGGGTCTTCCTCTATTTCTTTGTCCTGGGAAAGTAAAGACAGTCGGCGTAATGCTGACCACATTACCCACCGAGTGCCGATTGGTTTGTAAAAATATGGATGCTCTTCCCATATGCCCGATGCACCTAAGGGCGTGTAAAGGGATCTTTACTTTTTTTTTTTACTTACTATTACTTTTAACCTGTGGAATCCAGAGAAAAGATGTTCTAGTTATAATATTAATATATATCTTGAATGTGTATCATCAGATACACCAGTGTCCCCCCCCCCCCCCCCCCCACCCCCCCCCCCCCCCCCCCCCCCCCCCCCACCTAAATTGTTGCTTTGCTATAATTTGTTTATCTTTCTAAGTTCTGCACTAGTGATTCTGTCATGGCATTTAAGCCCATACATTCTATGCCGGCACTAGTTTAAGAATGTTTGTAGTTTATTAGAAACTGTTTTAGTCATTCTCAGTTTTCTGATTTATACAGCAGTGCTGATATTTGAGTCTGGACTTATAATGTGGCACCATTTATTTGGATTTCCTCAAACTTTCTAGTGTTCTGAAAATATCATTTGCCTTTTATATTATTATTATTATTTTAATAACTCCTCAACTTTTATCTATATTTCTAACTAAAGTAATTTACAATTATACTTGAGATCCCCCCCACCCCCCTCTCTCTCTCTCTCTCTCTAGAATACACACACAAAATACATCTTATTTACAGATACAAGAGGACTCATCCACTGATACCTCAGTAAATACAGTAGCCATGTCTGCTTCCCCTCTCAGGTTGCCCAGGAAGGACTTGATCCCCTGGACTGACCTCTCCATGGCCTTGGGAGTGGCGTTGACAGAAATTCTGTTGATAAGACGATCATATAAGACAAGCTTTACAGCGTAATAAACAGATACAACAGCATCTTCCAGAGGCATTTAACAAATCACGAACGAACGGTTTTATTTAAAATATCTCCTCCGGGATCGTGTACTGAAAGTTGACATCTGGTGACTAAAAAAGCCATTATTTAGACATGAATCCACCAGAATCATATACTAGAAAACCTGTTCAAATAGAGCAGGTATATCTGAGCCCCCTACTGTTATAAAGTCTGGGGAATCAGAGCTTGACATCTAGACGTGAGGCAAGCAGGTACTGAAACATGTGGTGATTCCATGGATCTGCCCCAAACCACATAATAATGAATCAGCTTTCATCCTCATCACGTGCCATGCATTATTCCCAAAGGCAGCTGTGAGTGCACTGCTGCCAACATTTATTAAGGAAGGGCAAATAACTATTGTTTATTTGTTTTTAAAAACAAGGATCTGCCTGTGAGTAAAACCCATGAACTGATATACTGGTATCTTAATGTCTGTAAAAACTCATGATGCAGGGTTTTCAAAACTGTGAGACTTCTACCTCAGATTAATGGGACAGGCCTCCCTTTGTGTGTGTTCTAGGGCGCAATTCTGTGATTTTAAAAAACAATTGTCCTTGTAAAATGTCCCACCACTACGTTGGGTATTCAACCTGGTGACTTCTGAGTCTTAACCTTTCCACCGTGACACCCCTATGCATACAAGTGAGGATGTAACATTCACACATCTGAAGTTACTTAACTCTTTCAGTACTATGCAACTCATCACATGTTCATTAGGTCAGCCAAAGACAGTAGAAATGTCTGGCTCTTCCAGCACAGCCAGTTGTTACCTTAACTCATTATGCCCAAACTGTTTTACTCCTCCCCCTTTGTGTTATTATTTTCTTCTATTTGGACTCCTCTTCTTCTGTATGCACTCAAAGGGTGGCTGGAATTATGTTTTGTAATTTACAGCCAGACTGCAATATCGGCACCTCTGGTCCTAAAACATTTGAGTTCAGCAAGCCAGTAGTTGCTCACCTTTTATGAGACTCTTGTTGGTGGGTGCAGTGGGTCTCCCCCAAAACAGGCCCCAGAAATCACAGGGACTGAAAACTCAAACACTGGCTGCTTTGAACGAGAACTTCTCGGGATAGTAATCCCAGTTGTTTGGTAATAAGAGAGTTAAGCTAGAAACTGCACCAGCACCTCACAGACACTCTACACAATCAACCCTACAACAACAGGAAAATGTTTACTCTCCCCTGCCAGCCAAACCTTCACCTCTTTACTGATACAACTGCACCAGCACCAGCACCTCACACCCTGTTCAACTAACCCTACAACAACAGGCAAACACTCAATTTTCTCCACCACAAAAAAACAACAACACCTCTATATAGATAAAACTGTACCAGCACCCCACTGACACCCTATACAACTAACCTTACAACAGCAGCAAACAAGCACCTCACAGACACCCATAAAACTATTCCCCCACAAAAACATTAGCCAACTTTTATTAGCTACCGGGGTATAAACTGCTTACCTGATAGAGGATTTATCCAACACAACATCTCCAATGCTCTGAAGTTTGTAGGCCACCTCGGAAAAATCGGGTAGCTCTGCCACTTGTTTCATTGTCCGCACCTACAAAGAATATATACACATATATATCATTGGCAGTGTGCCAAAGTACCCCAAGTGCTAAATCCTTCTTTTGAGAAAATTGTGTTTTAACATCGAGATCTCTGAAAACTGTGTAGTTTTGTGAAAAGTAGTACTTTATTTTGACCTATTTGGAGTAGGAGCTCACAAGTGTGCCTTCAGCTTACTGTAAAATGACAATGAACAGCATTGAAAATACACTTCAGGTTTTAACTGCCAGAAATGTGTGCAGCTGACTTTGGCATAGTGCCGATGATGAATCTATGCAAGGCCTAACAACACTTCACACAACTAGCCAGGCACCTGAGGATCAAAACACAAAGGAAGTCAACTGCCCAGCTTTGAAACTTCTTTCTTCCTTAAACAGCTTCAGTAGAAAGCCAAATGAAGGAATATAATATGACATGGCATACCACAGGCAGGGGGCTGAGCGGTCTCGAGGTACTGTGTCTGCTTCGAGTGCTGAATGTTCCGGGTTCAAGCCCTGGTGACGGCTGAGATTTTTCACATGGACTTCTAATAATTCCCCTTGGTCTTTAGGTAGTAAAATCAAACGCCCGTGCATATTATTTTGCATGTAAAAAAATCCCGTGGCAGTTGGAAATTGAAAAGAAGTAGCCTAACGGCGCTGCCACTGCAAAATTTGGAGTTAAAAATCTACCTAAGTATTTCAGGATCCTTTCCCGTGCAACAGAGTTCGTGAACTGCACTGAGATTCTTCAGACTTAGGTTCGAGTTAGAAGCAGAGTGGAAGGTTAATGGGTTACACCCATGTGCCATGATGTTGATCCGTTGAATAAACATAAATATACCATAGGCAGACAGACAGCAATGGAGATCCGGTGTGAACGCCTTATGTGTCCATAAAGAGGATAAAGATAGAACACTTCACACTCCAATGAAATTGTTGGCTATAGAACCACCTGCTATATGTGACTGCATCAGTTTCTATAAACATGAACCAGATTATTTGTTTTTTAACCACTAATAACAGAACAAGACCTGACTGCTACTGTCTTCACCAACAACAAATATGAGGTACTGACTTGTGAATATCCAAAGAACAACTCCTGGAGCTTGTTCACAGTGCTCAATGTTGATGCAGAGCTGCTCAAGGCATAATGATGACCATTGTCCGACAGGCTGGATGCTAACTCACTTGCACTCATGCGGATCAGTGTGGACAGACGGTTGACATCCATGAAGTCTGGGCTGAGCAGAAAGCAGCAAGTATTTCAATATATCAGGACAACTATACAATCATGAAATTTACATTTTAGAACATGAAGATGATTATTCAATAATAAAGTATATGTTTGAAAACATGATGAGAAAAGAATCACAAAATTATTGGGGGAGGGATGTCTTGTGAACAAAATGCCTCACATTTCCAGAAACTAGGTTGTTGCGTATCCTTTACAGGACGTTGCAGAACCAACCCCAACAGCCCCTGGCTGTTGTGTGGTTTCCCTAGACAAATTTACGTCAGTAGTTTGCCATTGCTTTCTGGGCGATCGGTTTTCTTGATACCACTGTCGAAACCAACGCAAGGCGCATTGCCCGCAGCTGGGATCGAACCCAGTATCCTGGCATTACGAAGTGAAGTGTTCGCATCGACTTAGCCACAGAGCCGACTTTCCAGAAACAATAGTTTAAAATATAAATAATAAATGACAGTGATATTTTGGAGTTTTTCTTCTTTTCGTTTCCACCGGCTGTAAACTATGGTGGAAAGTGCTGGTTGTTCACACATTTCTAGACTCTAGTCCTGTTCAGGAACCCAAGTGTTGCGTGCACATCCATTTAACAGATCTGACTTACCTGTATGCAGAATGTGAATCCTTTTACCTCTCAGGCAGATGCACTCAGACTCCAAAGGAAGCTCCCAATTTGTCTACTTTAATGACAGGTTTTTTGGCAGACAGTGGGTCTTTTCTTATTTTCCCCACAATGGGGCCCAAGAACTTACAGGGGGAATTCATATTAAACTTGACGGCTCCGTACTTTATGAAGGAAAAGAAAACAGACTAAAGCAAAGTCCAGCACCTGCTGATTTTTTTACTTCACAGACCCGACATGTTATGAAAGATATTCTCCAAGTAATAGGCACAGAATGAACCAAGTAGCTGTGCAAGCAGGTTAAGTTATTAGGGTTCCTTAACTCAAGATGATAAACAAGTCATTTTAGGACAAGAAGTCACCAACCTGTTGATTAAAATACTCCACAGGTCCAACATGTTTTTCTCCAAGCAGTGAAAATTAGTCCAGATAACTGGGACAATGCAAGATATTAAACTACCAAAGCTCCAAAAACTTAAAAAGGTAAAGAAATCATTCTAGGATCAAGAAGTCACCAACCTGTTGATTATATTAGTCCACAGGTACAACATGTGATGGAAGTTTTTCTCAAAGCAGCGAAAATGAGTCCAGATAACTGGGACAATGCAAGCCATTTTAAACTACCACAGCTCCAAAAACTTAAAAAGGTAAAGAAATCATTCTAGGATCAAGAAGTCACCAACCTGTTGATGATATTAGTCCACAGGTCCAACATGTGATGGAAGTTTTTCTCCAAGCAGTAGGAAGAGAACAGCACAGATAACTGGGCTTTTGCAATGTCTGTGTGATGAGGCACCACAATAGGGCTGGCATCCAATCCCCCAGTGTAGAGTTCTTGTTGATGGGACATCCATAGGTAGTCATGTCCTCCTGCTCCAATACTGGCGAGGACAAAACATGCAATTTACCATCAGAAACTAACCAGACCTACAGTAACATAAAAAGCTAAGGCACTCTTCCGAATACCGGTCCCAAACTATTCACTGTTTAAAAAATCCCATTCAGGACCTCAAGAGGTTAACTCTCGAGTCTTCGGTAGTACATAGAAGAATTCCGCCTGTCACATGAGTGACTGGTGTTCGATTCCCCGCCGGGTGATAAATTTTTTTTTCAGCCCTTAACAGGGCAGTTGGCAGGTTGTGTTGTGGTTTACAACTAGGCTGTGATATCAGCGCCTTTCGATCAGCAGTGTGGTTTACATCTAGGCTGCAATAGCGAGATGCTAAATGGTCATTCACGGGTATTCTTGCTTTTCATTCTCCCTTGAAAGAGTGGTTGAGGCACAGTGTGTTGTGGCTTACGGCTAGGCTGTGATATCTGCTTGTTTTCCCCAAAACATTTGATTTAAGTCTTAATTAGTGGCCTTTTACAACATGCTTTTTGTGGCAGTAGATGTATTCTTTTTTTCCCTCAGACATGTGGCCCTGGAATCCACAAGGCGAGGAAGGGGTAATGTGACCAATGGATCAAAAACTATTCCTCCTCACGACGCTTTAATGGATCAAAAGCTACTCCTCCCCACAATGCATAAACTATGGATCCGAATCCGTTCCTCTTCACGCCGCTTCAATGGATCGCAAATTATTCCTCCCCATGGCGCTTAGCTTAACATTTAAACATTGCTATCCATCGAGCAATAACGGGAGAATTGGAAACTGATGATGATGACCTAATTGTTTTTAACTACATAACCTCTTGAGGCTCCCAAAGGGATGTTTTTTGCATTGAATAATTTGGGACCGGTATTGGAAGAGTGCCAATGCTAAAGCTATTATGATGGAGACTACAGTGTACAGTATATCTCGGTAAATGGCGGTGAGAAAGATATTTCACAGAGCCATAAAGAGTCAATTCATTTGTATGGAATTTGACTGGGGACATGATCATGGGCAGGGCAATGCCTTGTTCACAATCCTGGCCGAGTCATTGCAGACAGCCAGCAGGTTAGTTAGAGATTATATGGAAGTTGTTGTTTTCCTTCATGCTCACCAGCTATGAACTCCGGTGGAAACAGTTCTGGTTGTTCGTTTACTTCTAGATTTTAATCCTGTTTCAGAACTTGAGTTTTGCAGGCATATTCATTTTATAGATTGGTTTGTTTGTATGCAGACTATTGGTTCCTTGTCTCTCAGGCAGATGCACTCCAAGTCCAAAGAAAACACCCATAATTAGTTGCCATTTACAACATGCTTGCTGGGGGAGGGGGGGGAGGGGGGGGGGGGGGGGCAGTGTGACTATTCATTCCCCCAAATGGAGCCTTAGAATATACATGGGGATGGAAGCTGATGAGATGTGATGCTATAGAAAAATGATGAGAACATTCAAAATGAACAGCATTAAAATAAAAGAGCAATGAAAAGCAATTAACTCACAAAGAGAACTAGCTACCGTCATCAGAAGGGGAGAACATTGAGAGAACAGGAAAGCTGGATGGTAAGAGAGGAGGCGAAGACAGAGAAAACTCAGAGGAAGCAAGGATATCCAAAAGAAACATTAAAAAGAATGTTAATGAGAGAGGACAAAGATGCTGGACTGAATTCCATCCATGATATCGAAAGGACTGAACAAGATAGCACAGAATGGTAGAACAGACTGCCAGCCACATATGAAATTTATAAGCACATTAGGAAAAATGATGATGATGATCATTACAAATATTCTGTCATGGGTAGGTTCTACAATGTTGAAACAGTGTGGAATATGGTCTATTTAGCCTGGACTGTTTAATTCCAACTGTTGAGGGAGTTTTTCCATGGGAAACAAGTAGACAGGTCTTTGTGGTTTTTCTGTCCTTATCTGAGAAGCCAGATATTTGATTCATTACCCCAAGATTAAGGGAAAGGGGAGCATACCATAGTTTCATTATTCTGTAAAACTGTGTACTGTCCACAATGCAGACTGTATAGACAAGTACTGTAGAGTAGAGAAGATCAAGTCAGAGAACTCCATATCTTAAAGTCATTCCATCCGCTGAAAGTGAAATTATTAATTTCGCTCCGAGATGCTGATATAAAGGCTTTGCGATCAATTACAAATCCTTGTGAAGCCTCTGCTACACTGGCCAGTCCCCAACAAGCTTAGTTAACAGCTCTGGTTCTGTATGCATCTATGCTGTATTTAGGTGGCGATAATACTTACTAAAAATAGCATGAGGGAGGGGGGGGAAGGCAGGGTGGCCCCCATCATAATTTACATTTAGCGTTTAGCGGTCTCACAGCGATGGGGTCATAGTATGCGTCGCCGTATACACACTTTTAGGCCACAGGAAAAGTATTTCATGAGATTTTCTGCCGTTTGTGTTAACTGATTCCGCCTCTTCAAATAAAATTTTAAAGTATATAAATACATTTGTTCTGTCATTTATTAGTGACTGCTTAAAAGGGTTTTTAAAGGATAGGGAAGATATCCGGGTTCATGACCCCCTCCCATTTCTGGTGCGAAAGCGTTAAAGACACTATTAGACACTCCAACAGCCGATGAATGTACAATGTAGACTCACCTTGTTATAACATCACAAAATAGTGGAACATAAGGCATCAAATCCTCTGGAAGACCCTGTAAGTTGGAGGCCATACGGAGATAGGTCACACCGTTAGTTGGCTGGTCACAGGTCTGTATGAAGGACCAACCTGAAATTGCATTTTATTTCAAGAGGACATCAATATTTTGCAGAATTTATTGCCTGGCAAATTTCATTACATTTCTCAGATGCCAACTAAAGAATTTCTTCAACATTTAATGAAATGCAAAAATTAAACCTTTTGACCCAGATACACAAATTACACTGTGGATTCATGCTGTACAATAGCCATGGCTAATGAAGACACCTTTTTCGGGGGTGTGCCAAGCTGGTTATTGGTCTTAGTACACTTGTTTCTGCAACAAGGCACTGTTGTCATTTGGGGGTGACAGGTTCAATTCCAAGAATGGAAACTATATAGCTTTAGATTTTTATGTTGAATATTGTTTCTTTCTAACCTTATACTTTTTTCTATGACTGTTGATTTGTTTAGTAAATATACTATTTCTAAAGCCTCAAAGGTTCCCCATTTATTTCTGTGTATTACACACAAATTACTTAGTTTATAGTTTCACTGTACATTTCATCATGCCTTTCTGACAGCCTCAATGAACTTTAAAACATGATTGTTATGTGTGTGATAAATAGTCTGAAAGGCACAACTGTTGTCAACTACTTGCCTAATAGATGACGTCGTCTAACAGGTAACATCTGTGCAAGTATAGCTCTTACCTTTCCAGAATATTCAATTATTAGTGTGTCTATTTTAAAATGTGTTCTGCTACCCCCTGCTTTGACCTGCTATATGCAATTAAACTTTGTTGAAGATTAAAGATCACTTTCCTGATGGTCACCATCCATGCACAAAGATGTTTTATGGCTACCTCTAACAGATACACCCCCTTTTCTCAAAGATTATAGCTCACTCAGTGTGGAGGCATAAGAATTATGAGCTAAGAACTGATTCATAGCACTCAGGACATTCCCATAAGCGCTCTAACTCTATCTTCAGCAGCAAGCTCAGAGTTCCAATTGCAATGGTACCAGTAACAGTCATGATTGTATGTCTGTGTCGCCCCTTCCCTGAGTGTTGAGCAGCGGCCAGATTCCCTGATTACTCCTGAAACAAATACAAATAATGGACACACTAACCTGCCTCTGTGAATGTCACAGGCTCTGGTTTGATCTTGGGACTGAGATCAGCGAGCTTCAGCGATGGAAGACAAGAAACATCTTCCTTCAAGTTCTGACATTCCTGTAGATCCAGACCTGCCCACAGACAAGTGTACCCACATCAGGTTAACTGAAGTGACATGTGGCCAACTTTCCAATGTCAATTCAAAACATTAACTTTTTCAGTGCTCACTTAAACTAACAAATGTTTGGCTCATAATAAGTTTTAAAAACTTTTGAATGTCAGAGTTTAAAAAAAGGGGGGCGCAAAGTGGATTAAAGGCTGGGTCAGAAAGAATTAGAGAATCAAATTCAAACTGACCAAGTTTTTCTTGTATTCTCTTAAATAAACAATTTTTTTCCTTTTTCGAGACTGAAAGAGTTAACATAAAACTAAGAAGAAAAAGTAAAAAGTAAAGAAGAAGAAAAGGAGGAGTAGGAAGAGAAGAAGAAGAAAAAGAAAAAGAAGTGGTATTATAAAAATTAGTTCAAACTGTTTCATATGTACACCTGGTAAAACTGTTAGGAATTAAAACCTACCATAAGTAGTCAGCACAATCTATCTTGGATAAAATATGTCTAGAGGAAATAAACATTACACTAATGTTTGCTGAACTTTGAGTGATGCCCAAATATGTATGCAACACTCCTCTTTAAAGATGAATCAACGACTGACATAACTGGACTAGGGCCATTTCCACACATGCTGTCTTCTTCAGTAGCCACTGGAGTTCCGACTCTGATAGTGCTAGATGCAACCTGATTAGTGGTGCACATGAATTTTCTGCTGTGCACTGAATGTCATCCTTTCTTCACTCCCAGCTGAATCAGTATTTCCAGGTAAGGATACTCTGTACTGCTGCACTGTCAACTTGATCCCAGCGAGCCTTTAGTGCCAACCATGTACTTCAAGCAGCTCACTGCCCACAGCATGACCAGCATGGGAAGCAGCTAATCTATCAGCTTGCTCATCACCCCACACATCCAAACAAACTGAGCAGAAAACACATTAGCTCCTCTTGATAAAGAAAAGAGGAAGATTTCACCAAGCAAGGCTGTTCACAAACCTCGTTTCAAGATGTCAGCTCTGTCAGATTCACTCAGAGCCCCCACCAACTGATTTAATCTTTCTTTCTCAGCTTTCTTTTGCTTCTCAGTGTACGACTCGTCAGGCACCATTGTCAGGGTCAGCCGATGTGAGTTGTCCTGGCCAGAGAACAACATTCAAGTTAAGTCAAATCACACAACTAAAAATTAGTTATCCTAATCATAGAATATTCCAGATATTTACAGCCTTGATTTAAAACAGTGGTTGTGTTTTGTATGTGCCAGATTTAATGACTTAGTTTCCCTGGCTGTGTTTCCTGTTGTCAGTTGATGTCTATCCAAAAGTTTAATCATAATCAGGACACAAACAGTTTATCGCACAACCCACTGTCAGGCATACCTGGCTGTATCTAACCTGGTGCATACTAAAGAGTTTACAACATTCAATGAAGAGATACTGCTAAATATGGTCTGCAATAAATTCAGCAATTTATGGTTTCAAACTGATATTTTCCCAGTGTACATTTAAATAATTTGGACACAAACAATCCTTGCCCAATTTATTGCCAGGCATATTTTGCTGTATTTTTATTACTTAAATTACTCATCATCATCATGTAGCACTTCATTTGCAGAATGTCACTCTCATCACGGTCTGCCTGAAAGAAACTGTCTCTCCCTAGCTCTCCAGCTTCACTTAAAAATTACTACAAAATGAAATAAACATGCACTATGGAATCCCACAGAAAATTATCAACTTAGTAAAGGCAACATATAAAGACATGAAATGTCGAGTTCTTCATGAGGGAAAGCTAACAGATGCATTTGAAATAAAAACAGGTGTGCGACAGGGATGTCTTTTGTCGCCTCTCCTATTTTTACTGGCTATAGACTGGACTATGAAAACAGTAACTGCTAACACAAAGAATGGAATTCAGTGGACCCCTACAAAACAGCTTGATGATCTGGACTTCGCTGATGATATTGCCCTTCTGTCCCATTCACGGAATCAGATACAAGATAAATAAATATACTTAATGCGAGATCACAGCAGCTTGGTCTGAAAATCCATAAAGGAAAGACAAAGATAATGAGAATAAATCAGGCAAATAGTAATGTGGTTTCTCTTAATGGCACCCCACTCCAAGACGTGGAGTCGTACACCTATTTGGGCAGTAATGTAGATAAAGATGGAGTAACTGATAGAGATATTAAAATAAGAATACAAAAGGCAAGAGGGGCTTTCATAGCACTAGGGAATTTGTGGAGGTCAAAAGAAATTAAAAGAAATACTAAACTAAAAATTTTTAATTCTAATGTCAAATCAGTACTATTGTATGGGGCGGAACATGGAGAACAACGAAGGCAATTACTAATAAATTACAGACATTCATTAACTGGTGCCTGCGCAGAATAGAGGGAATAAAATGGTATGATAGAATAACTATGTAGAACTTTGGAGAGAGAACTAAACAGGCTCCAGTGGATCAAGAGGTGAGGAGAAGACGCTGGCGTTGGATAGGGCACACACTGAGAAAACAGGAGAACAGCATAACTAGAATGTCTTTGCATTGGAACCCACAGGGGCATAGGAATAAAGGAAGGCCAAAAAACACATGGAGAAGAGAGCTGGAGAATGAGGTTAGAAAGATTGGGAGGACATGGGGAGAGCTCCATGTAATGGCGAAGGATAGAACGACTTGGCGTGAGTTGGTTGAGGGCATATGCTCCATTGGGGGATAAAAAGGCAGAAGAAGAAGAAGAAGAAATAAACATAAAATTAAGCATACAAAAATGAACCCTTTTCACTTAAATACATAAATCACATCAAGTTAGACTGTACATCTCTCCACAAGGAAATCAAGACCAGTCATGTAACTTCAAATTTATCACAAGATCTTGTTGTTTATATAAAGCAGCAGAGTTCAGTTTTATGTATATGGCCTTGGCGAATTTGACTAAATGTGTATTCAATCAATGTGTTGTAAATAATTCTGAAGGCAAGATCTTTATCAAGTATGTGCAGAGAGTCAAGAAAATAGAAACATAGGGTTATCTCATCTTGGCTGGTCTTGATAAAGAATCTACACTTAGTTGTGTGTGGGGTCATTTAGAGATATGCACTGCCAATCCAGTACATTGTTTGTATTCTCATCTGGGGATAATGGGTAGAAAAATACATCAAACTGACAAAAAGCAACCAGTACAATAAAGCATGGTAGAATTCATACCTTCAAGTACTCTTTGACTTTTTGCTGCAATAATTTGGGGTTTTTCTTCAAGTCCTCTTTAAACCTGGCCACATGTTTGCTGACCTGCAGACCACTGACAGGATCTCCATCGTGATTCCACAAAGTGGCTATATTCTACAAAACAAATTGTATACACCCAGATTAATCCAAAGGAAGATTTATTAAATGCATTATACATGAAGCGCTGAAACTTGGAGCACAACTAAAAGAGATAAAGCCTTATTACAGGTTTTCTAAAACAGTCTTACGACGAATCTTTGGACCCATCAAAGATGCAAACAGCGGGGAACTGAGAGTGAGAAGAAACAACGAAATTCATAATCTGTTTAAATCACCACTGATAACTGGCATCATGAGAGCTAATAGACTGAAATGGCTGGGGCATATTGAGAGAATATCAGATGACAGAGAAGTGAAAACTATACACAGGAGATGAATGGTCGTAGGCCACAAGGCAGACCAAGAAGACGATAGAGAGATAATATCCAGACAGACATGCAAACACCTGGTGTCACCAACTGGAAAGAGAAGGCCAACCAAAGAGATGAATGGAGGCTGGTGATATCTGCAGCAATGAACCTCAAGGGCTTGGAATACTGAAGAAGCAGCAGATAAAACATGGTCATGTCACAGGTCGTTTAGAAAACGTCACTTCCATCACAGCACACATAAAAGATACTCAGCCCCTGGCCAGCTGCTCTCCTGCATCATGCACTTTCCTGCCCAGGTATTTTTTCTGTCCTGTGCCCAACTTCATGTTAGCTGAACTTTGTCTTTTAATTGCTACAATGCCCTCTACTTTTGTTCTTTCCAAGCCATTGTAATGTTTAATATGGCCAAAATATTTCAGTTTTCAAGACAGTTTACTGTTTTCATGATGTTCAGATCTTTTCGGATGTCAATATTTCTTGTCTTCTTGGTCCATGGTATTCTTTCTAAGAATCTTTCTGTAGCAATTCAACTCATTAAAGATAGTGGGATAGTCTACGACTCACATCCACATGTTGTCACAGGCAAGATGCATGCTCTCAAAATGTTGACACTGATTTCCTTACTGGTGCTTAACTAAAGGCTTTTAATGCTGTTTAATCATTGCATTGCTAATGGTCATCCTCCTTTGAGCTTCTGCTGAACAGTTCCACTGATACATTCAAGTATATTATGATTATTTAGGTTAATAGGCTGCAATATATAATGTAAATTAATTAAGTGACTGCAACTGGCTTGCGCATGTCAATTTTACTGGTTGCAATGAATTTGATTAATGCACTTAGATCATTCATGTGAATTTAATTCAAAATATTACAATAAAATGTGAGTGAATTCAATGGCTGCAAATTTATTGTTTCAGTAAATTCAACAGACCATAATAGGATGTGAGTAAATGCAATTAAACTGTATATGTAAATTTAAAAAAGATCATGCATGAGCAATTTAACACACCAGAGTGAGCTATGAATGACTTCAATTAGCTGCAAAAGTCAAACCATATTTGGATCCAACAATTTAGGAAATAAAGGACACACTTTAACGCCTTACTGTGAATTGGTTGTATGGTGCCAGCTCCATGTTGTTAAGGACCAAACAGCACTCGGGTAATATGGTAAAAAAATAAAAATGTCCTGGCACCCATTTGAGACTGGGTTTTTTTAAAAATGCCAGTTTAAATGAAGAAATCAAACACATAATTACCAAACTGGGGGGGCAAGCACGCTCACCACTCAGCTAACACAACTCCCCCTTTTTTTTCTTAACTTGCCAGTAAAGACAAACCTACCATAAAAATCAAAACTAGAGTAAATAGTGAATACCACAGCATACTTACAATGGCCAGGTGCAACCCAAAATTGCTGGTCTGATGTTTCTGTTCCAATTCAATTCTGTGCAATAAGGCATCAATCTTGGCCTTGTCAAAGCCCTTCTCTGAAATGAGAAAAATCAAGTTTCATTGACTCTAGGGTAATTTTAAACATGTACGAGGGAAAGCCAATAAGTAAGTCACAAATGGTTACGGAATGGCAGGAAAATGCAGTTGGTGGGTTCTAAAGGTGTCATTAGGTGACAGCAACATCAAACTTTTGTCCCCGTTCGTTATGCGGCGCTAGGTTTTGCATGCGCATTCGCAACACAGAAACAAAATAGCAACTGTACTTATGGAGTGCACCCTCAAAGCAAAAACTACTACTTTGCTAGTTTTTTTTTTGGGGGGGGGGGGGGGGGGGGAGGGCTGCCCTACATTCATAAGGAAATGCTTCCTGTTTATGCTGACAATGACAAATATTTATCCTGCAAAGCGGTGCATAGCTGGGTAAAAAAAAAATTCTCAAGGATACTCTAAAACTGTTGCTGAAGTCTGATCTAGTTGTCCTGTTGAGACTGCCACAGACCCATCCGTGCAGCAGGTTGAGATTATTAGAGGTGTCTGGTGAGTAAAAGTCAACTAATTAAGAATGTTTCCTCAGCAGGTTGAGATTATTAGAGGTGTCTGGTGAGTAAAAGTCAACTAATTAAGAATGTTTCCTCAGCAGGTTGAGATTATTAGAGGTGTCTGGTGAGTAAAAGTCAACTAATTAAGAATGTTTCCTTAGAATTCAGAGTCCATCTCACTGAGAGGCTATGAATCAACAATCTGCATACAAATAAACCAGATCTGTAAAATGAATGTGCATGCAAAACTCAGGTTCTGGAACAAGACTAAAGTCCAGAGGTGGTGGTACAACCAGAACTTCAGCTGGATTTTACAGCCAGTGAAAGCAAAGAAGAAAACAAAAATCCATAATTTAGAGACAGGGAGCCACTGTAGCATAGTGACTAGATGCTCTCACATGTATATTTGTTTTTATTAAATCAACTTGGCTGTCAGGTCAACCCAGCCTAACATGGGTATCAGGTAAAAATTATGGGAAGTTAAGGTGGTTGGTGTGATGTTAACTACATTACGCATCCAGTACTGTCTGATCTATAAAAATGTGACTCTAGCATTATTTGCCTGGTGAACCATTAGCATCTTCTTTTCTTCCTGTTCATCAGCTGTGACTCTGGCAGAAAGTTCTGGTTATTCATCCACTTCTGGACTTTAGACTTGTTCCAGAACTTTTGTGTGCACGTACATTTTACAGATCAGGCTTTTTTATAAGTAGACTGTTGGTTCCCTGCCTCTCAGGCAGATACACTATGACTTTAAAGGAAACAGCCCTTTATAGTCAACTTGTACAACATGCTTGTTTGAGGGGGGGGGGGGGGGGGTGACAGAGGGTCTGTGTCAGTTTTATTTTCCCCTGGTATCCTTTCTTTTACTTTTAAGTCAAAGACAAAGTAAATACATTTACCAGATAATCTTTTTTGTCGGTAATGAGATGTCAAAATGTGCAAGTATGTTCGTATGTACTTGTTATGCACCATATTTGGGTGTCAGACAATCTAATCTATGCACTTCGAAGAAGTTTATGGAGGAAGAGTAGATGACCGATTATCTACTGATGAGACATTATGACAGAGCTCATAAACTGGCTGGCCATGGGTCGAATCTGGCCTGCAGAGGTCTAACAAGTGGTCTGCAGATCACTTCCAGTTGTACTGATTAATGATCTTTCTATACTGGGGATCAGGCCCTGACCCATGACAACGCCTGTTTTCAAAATGTTGGCTTATGAATATACTTAGTTGAATAGCCCTGCCTTGTAAACTCAAAACACACTATACTGTATGGGACTCACTGACTGTCATGTGCAGTTGTGGGATACCAAAAGCAAATTCCAGGGCATGTCTTATAAAATTAAAACTACCCAGACTCCACCAGCCATCGGAGTGACCCTGCAAAACAAACTATGGGTTACCTGCGAAGACCTCAAGTGTACCATCCTGTTTGTCCCCCATATTGGAATAGATGTATAGTCAAAAACCTCAAGTGCACCGTCCTGTTTGTCCCCCATACTGGAATAGATGTATAGTCAACAACCTCAAGTGCACCGTCCTGTTTGTCCCCCATACTGGAATAGATGTATAGTCAACAACCTGTTTGTTCCCCATACTGGAATAGATGTATAGTCATCAACCTCAAGTGCACCGTCCTGTTTGTCCCCCATACTGGAATAGATGTATAGTCAACAACCTCAAGTGCACCGTCCTGTTTGTCCCCCATACTGGAATAGATGTATAGTCAGCAACCTTAAGTGCACCGTCCTGTTTTGTCCCCCCCCCCCCCCCCCCCCCCCCCCCCCCCCCCCCCCCCCCCCCCCTCTGGAATAGATGTATAGTCAACAATTACCGAAGAAGAGGATAACCCAATAATCTACTTACGCAATAACTTTGTCAAGAGTTTGCTCGATGATCCCCAGTGTGGTTTCCACATCCGACTTGCTGATGTTCCACAGACCCACAGAGAATACTGCTTCTTTTGTATCAGAATGAAAGCTGTGTTCAGACAAGAAAAATAAACATTAGCTGGTTGATTGATTAACAGAAATCGACTATTAAATATCATATTTAACAGTTTCACTTTTGCACGAACGCCAGCTAAAGTTGAACACACTATTCCAGACACAGAAAATTAAAAGTTTGGCAAGGTACCAAGCTAAGAAGTGATCGTGAAAGAAGCTGGAAGTTAAAGTTAACCTTACAAGCCATGTCAGAAAAGACTCATCATTTATGGGATGGAAACTATGATTAGCCATGTCAAGAACTACAAAAACATCCACAAGTTGATGTAATCTGAGACTAGCCATGTAAATAACTAGAAACATCTACAAGTTGATGTAATCTGTGACTAGCCATGTCAAGAAATACGACTCAACATTTACTAGTTGACACAGCCAGGTCAAGAACTACAAACAACATTAACAAGTTGATGTAGCCAGGTCAAGAACTACAAACAACACTTACAAGTTGATGTAGCCAGGTCAAGAACTACAAACAACACTTACAAGTTGATGTAGCCAGGTCAAGAACTACAAACATTAACAAATGATGTAGCCAGGTCAAGAACTACAGATAACATTTAGAAGTTGATGTAGTCAGGTCAAGAACTACAAACAACATTTACAAATTGATGTGGCCAGATTAAGAATTACAAACAACACTTACAAATTGATGTAGCCAGGTCAAGAACTACAAACAACATTAACAAGTTGATGCAGCCAGGTCAAGAACTACAAACAACATTAACAAGTTGATGCAGCCTGGTCAAGAACTACAAACAACATTACCAAGTTGATGTAGCCAGGTCAAGAACTACAAACAACATTAACAAGTTGATGTAGCCAGGTCAAGAACTAGAATCAACATTAAGTTGATGCAGCCTGGTCAAGAACTACAAACAACATTAACAAGTTGATGCAGCCTGGTCAAGAACTACAAACAACATAAACAAGTTAATGCAGCCTGGCCAAGAACTACAAACAACATAAACAAGATGCAGCCTGGTCAAGAACTACAAACAACATTAACAAGTTGATGCAGCCAGGTCAAGAACTAGAAACAACATTAACAAGTTGATGCAGCCTGGTCAAGAACTACAAACAACATATACAAGTTGATGCAGCCTGGTCAAGAACTACAAACAACATAAACAAGTTGATGCAGCCAGGTCAAGAACTACAAACAACATTAACAAGTTGATGTAGCCAGGTCAAAAACTAAAAGTTAGTTGGGTATCATATATAGGACATTGCAGACCCAACCCCAGCGTTTCCTGTCTGTTGTGGTTTTTCTAGGCAAATTTTACATTCAGCAGTTTGCCACTGCTTTCCTGATCAATCAGCTCTCGGTACCACTGTCCAAACCAATGCAAGACAAACCACCCGCAGCTGGGATCGAACCCGGTACTACGAATACGTTCCCAATGTCTAAGCCACATCAGTCGCCTTTACTTTCCAGGACTTTACCTGGTACCCATTCAAGGTTAGGTCGACCTGGGAACCAAGGTCATTTTTGAAAAAAAGGTCAAGAGCTACACCCACATTTACATGTCAATGATGACCAGCTCTGATTGGTTATGAAGGCCCTATGACTTCCACAATACATGTATGGTAGAATTGCTATCAAGTAAACGCAAGTAACTAATGGACCCTTTTCCACGCCCTTAATCGTACTGGCTATTCAGTGCCAGACCTATATTTTTTAGACCAATCGGCACTTAGCAGATGATGTGGTCAGCATCACACCAGCCACCTTAACTTCCCAGGACTTTACCTGGTGCCCATTTTAGGCTGGGTTGACTGCTGATAAAGTGATCTGCTAAATGTTTGCTAATATTTACTGTAACTGAATAAGGCAAGATTTCTGATAAAATATGAATATAACTATCCATGTAGTACTATTCTTAAAAGTATAAAATTTCCCTTGTAAAAAACATATAACAATGCATGTAAACCAATAACTGGCTATGTCAATAACCATGAAAACACTTTGAAATAACCATACATACAATCACAAACACATGTGAGTAATCATAAAAACACTTCGAAAAAAACCATACATACAATCAGAAACATACGTGAGTAATCATAAAAACACTTCTCTTGAATTCCCATGGTGAAAAAAATAATACAAACACTAGTATCTGGAAATAACCATACAAATAGCTGGTAGGTAACGACAACAGTAAAACCAGGGCCTTTCCCCTTCACAGTACAAAGTACCAATAACTTTTTAGGGAATAATTTGTTTCAGAGCTACTGTAAAGGAAGCTACCACAGTGTCGCCTGCAGATCAAAAGGTCGTGGGTTCAGATCAGAACGGTGATGGACTTTTTTCAAAAATGACCTTGGTTCCCAGGTCGACCCTGCCTTGAATCGGTACCAGGTAAAGTCCTGGAAAGTAAAGGCGACTGGTGTGATTCTGACCACATCACCCACTAAGTACTAAATGATCTATTAAATACAGGTCTATCCCTGTATTCCCAATATGCCTTGCTACTGTAACAGCGATTTGTGATGGGTATGGGCACTTCTTTTTAAAGACACTATGTGGTTGGTACCACACCTTTAATTCTAGGAGGAAAAAAGCCCAGAATAAAACTACATAAACAAACCCTGTTGTTGGTGCATAATCACTGCCGATGTTTGGTTCCAAGAGAGCTCGATAGAAGGGGGACGTCTCTCCACTGGTAAGTAGGTAGCCAACAATGCTGGATACAAAGTTCTCATATGTGTCAGTGATGCTGTGGATAGTAATGTTAGACAGCATTCAAAGAAAAACATTAATGCCCCTCGGACAGCATAAGATGGTCCCAATGAACACAAAGAAACATCTCATGTTAAGCATATTCATCCCCGCTCTATGCTACCTGTGCCAGACATGGCCAGTCACTCACAACAAACCAGATCAGGAAATCAGTAACAAAAGAAATGAGATGTCTGAGAAATGCTGCAGGAGAAACCAGAAGAGATCAAAATCAAGAATAAACCAATTCTAAATTATTCAAAGACCAGGGAGAGATCAGAGAAAAGCATATGTTAGTTTACAGTCGTATTTATTCTTCTTCGTGTTCACCGCCTGTTAAACTATGGCGGAAAGTTCTGGCTGTTTGTCCAACTCTGGGCATTAGTTTTGTTCCAGAACCTGAGTGTTGCTTGCACATCCATTCAACAAATCTGACTTACTTGTATGCAGACTGTTGGTTCCTTGCCTCTCAGACAAATGCACTCTGACTTCGAAGGAAGCTTCAGATTAGTCGACTTACAACATGCTTGTTGGGTAGGCAGTGGGTCTATTCTTATTTTCCCCACAATGGGGTCCCGAAACCCACACGGGGAACAGTTGTATTTAACTCTGGCACTTTTCAAGTTACAGGCAGAAGCCATACCCTTCAACCACTTTATCTGTACTTACTCATTTAAAAGGTAGCTAACAGACACAGCCGTCTGCTTCTCTGGATCAGGGGCCATTGGATCTGGAGGGCCATAAATAAGCTTTTCTTTCTGAAAAATACACATCCAGTACAATGAGATGGTTAGATATAGATCCAACCTGGGTTTTTTTTTTACAGACACATAAATAAAAATTACGCGATAATCAATACATGTGACAGCTTTTTATTTATAGAGTTTAAAATATACTGGATTTAAACTAGGGCTGTACCGAATAGTGATTTTCACTATTCGGCCGAATACGAATAGCTGGACCAACTATTCGGCCGAATATGAATAGTGAATCATCATCATCAGGTGCTTTGCCGACTGGTATGGGCGATTATGCCTCGCCACAATCTGCGATCTCCTGCAGCATGTATTAGTTCGTGTGCTGACACACCTCCATGCCATGCAACAAGACTGTCAAGAATCTTCTCTTCCTCTATCCCTCCTTCCACAGATCTTTCCAGTGGTCACGTTCCATTTTCCTTCATTTTATAACATGGCCGAAAAATGATGACCGTCTCCTTCTGATGTCTGTGAGGAGTTGTCTTCGCGCTCCCGCCTCTATCAAGACTTCTTGGTTGCTTTTTTGTTTGTTTTTTTGTCCAAGGTATTTTAAGCATTGTTCTGCAATACCACATCTCTGAGCACCGCTCGCCTCGGTTAGATGTTCATTCACTAGTCTTCTTGTAGTGAGCACTGCCCGACCCAGTTCATTGCTGATTTACCAACCTTATTGTAGTAAGCACCGCTCGCCCCAGTTCGATGTTCGTTCACTAGTCTTCCTGTAGTGAGCACTGCTCGACCCAGTTCATTGCTGGTTTACCAGCCTTTTTGTGGTAAGCACCGCTCCCCCAGTTTGATGTTCGTTTACTAGTCTTCTTGTAGTGAGCACCGCTCGCCCCAGTTAGATGTTCGTTTACCAGTCTTCTTGTAGTGAGCACCGCTCGCCCCAGTTAGATGTTCGTTTACCAGTCTTCTTGTAGTGAGCACCGCTCGCCCCAGTTCGATGTTCGTTCACTAGTCTTATTGCAGTGAGCACCGCTCGCCCCATTCAATGTTCGTTCACTATGCAGGATATTTTAAGTATTGTTCTGTGATACCACATCTCTGAGGTTTCAAGAAATTGTTGGCCTGCCTACCGATTGTCCAGGACTCACAGCCATTTGTTAAAACTGGATGTATGTAGCAAGCAAGAATAATTTTTCTAACCTTCAATGACAAAGAAATATTGCATAAGATGTTCTTCATTTTATAAAATGCAGTTTTTGCCTGTCCTATTCTGTTTCTTATTTCAGTAATGCATCTTCCATCTGATGTTATCCATGTGCCCAGATACTTAAATTTCCTTACTTGTCCCAAAATAAAACCATTGACTTTTATTACACATTTAGGAGTAATTATTTTCTTTGATACCATCATTACTTCTGTCTTCCCACTATTCAAACTGAGGCCCATTCTTCCACTTTCGTGTAGAAAATAGATCTAAAAAGAAAACATCCATAATGTCAAATGTACACTGACATTTTACTTCACAAAATGTAGTACAGAATAGTAAACATTTAAATACATTTCATTTCATGTTTTGCATTCTTCAGTCAGTCAGTGTGTGGTAACTAATACATAGGAGTGAAAGTATTCTTAGTTTTATAACAAGTAACTAAACTTGTAAATTGTCACTGACAGCTTAATTAATCCATGAAAGCGGCATTAGCTTTCCACACCCAAAAAAATTGTTCCATGTTGTCAGCATTAAGGCAGCTTCTTGTCTCACTGAAGGCATTTCCAGCTTTACTAAACAGACGTTCACTTGGTACGCTCGTAGGTGGTGCACAGAGATAACGCTGGACAGTATGAACCAAGGTGGAAAATCTTGACATGTTTATTTTCTACCAGTCCATGAACGGGTGTAAGGTAACCACTATTCGTATTCGGCCCGACCGCAACTATTCGGCCGAATACTGAATAGTTATTAGGTCCACAATTCGGCCCCGAAGTGAATACAAAGCGAATATTCGGTACAGCCCTAATTTAAACTAGAATGAATTTCAAATATCTGAGAAATTTTCGTCTTTTTCTTATAGGCCATGCTGTATGGCAACAGGAATTAATGTCTATCCTCAGACTTCTGTCTTATGTATTTTCAGTAGCATCTTTAATATTTCATGTCAAAATGTCAAACTGTTCAGCATCTTCACCTTAACAGTGTACTCCAGTTTTCTCTTCCTCCTAGTGACCAAAGAACAGATTGTCTCCTCCTGATGTAGACAATCAGTTTATTTCATGAGCTAATTTCTTTCAAGACACATCATTACTCTTTTTACTTTTTTTTTTTTTTAAATCTGTCAAGGGTGTTCCAATCTTTGTCTTTAAAACCGCATTTTTGCGACTTCCACAAAATGTTTCGCTTGTCGGCTAACTATAAATTATTTCACTTATACATCTGAATTAGAATTATATAGTTCTTAGGAATAATACAAGAATTCAAATAGATCTGATGTCAAATAGACATGATGGCAACTACATAGAGTCATGAAGAATGAAGTGCCTAAAAGATAAGTATCTGATCTGACTTTACAAGCCCTAGCTCTGAATTAAATTGTTAATTATTACAACTTTTTTTTAACAAAAATGTTAGGAATTAGTACTTTCCATGATAAAATAATTGTTTAACACAAAAAACACTGGAATGCTGCAATGCATTTACAAATCATGAATTTTGTCTGGAAGCATATGTGGTACTGACAAACTGAATGAAAAGATCAATGTCTGCTCCGGGCCATGAGAAAAAGCTATCTCTTTCTTCTATCTCTTAGTCTTCACTAAAACTTAGGCCCACTGGTTAAAAAAGAATATATGCTACTATTCTATTATTTATCAAGCGATGTGCAGTGACTGTTGAGAGTGGTGTGCACTTGTTTACAGCTAGGTTTGCATTTTATATTCACCACATAAGTCAACCCCTAGTTTTGGAATTAAGGTCTGAAAACCTGACTTATATACCGCAATTTATGGTTTATGGTAAATATAGAAAATGCTTTACTTGAACCGGTTGCTGGCCTTTGCTCCATCAAGAGATAACATGAAGAAGAAGAAATGTATTTCAAAGTGATACCAATCTGCTTCATGAAAACTTACCGGCGAATCCCACCTGGGTTCTTTAGGAACTGATGTACTGGGTTGAATTTGACTGAACTTGTCTAGATAAGTATTGATGTACTCCAGATGGTTTTCCAGAGGTAGGTTGCCATAGGTGAAAAACCTGTTCATGGAAGAGGATTAGTTATATACATTCACTGTCTGTTCACTTTAAATGTCCCAATGTTTCTAGTCTTCATTATTTTATTTGAAGCCATAAGCTTTTTAATGAAGGCTTACTGTCATCAACATCAACATGTGTATGCATCTGTGTATTGTCTGTGTTGATTCATGTGATGTGATCTATGGATTACAGGCAGACACATTGAAAAGCAGAAATTTACTGACAGAAAAACAAATGAGGCCATCCTCTTTGAGACAACCATCGGAATTCGCCTGCTGCTGAAGATGGGGACGAAGCGCTTATGGGAATGTCCCATTTGATGTGATGTCGATTCTTGATTCAACATTTCTCCTTGAGACAGATAAAAACTGTACACAGACATAAAAATTAGTCAAGATTTTTCTTGTATGTTATGAGAAGCCATAAATGTGAGAACTTGGTGACAGCAAGCTCGAAAAGGCGAGAGTTAAAATACCTTGCTGGCTGGGACAAGAACACTGACCTGATCTGTGATTGCTAAAGACTGCAAACCATGGACATCTACACTTATTGGCATGGCACATGAAGATGATAACAAGTCAAAATACTGAACCTCATTCTTCAGTAATCAACATCTGCTATCATCTATTCCAGCATGGGTGTCACAAACAGAACAGTGTACTAAGGCCTCACCTGTGTCCCACTGTTTGTCCTGTAGGGTTGCTCCTACGGGCAATATTATATCAATCAAAAAAGGCAAGTACACAGAAAATTACCATATTGTAATAACCTACATAAACCGAGGGTTTCTTAGCAAAAGAGAAATTGGCAAGAGGACGAAAATGGCTGTTTGCCGCTCTACCTATGTACCAGTCCTGACCTATGGGTGTGAGTCATGGGCAATGACAACAGCTCACAGAGGCCAGCTGCAGGCCTCGGAAATGAGATACCTGAGAAAGGTGGTCCAAGTGACAAGAAGGGACAAAGTCCGCAATCAGACAATACGTCAGGATCTTGATACCCAGCCCTTACTAACCCGAGTGGATCAGTCACAGTTACGATGGTTTGGACATGTATGCAGAATGGGAGAAAATCGGCGACCATGGCAGGTATGGGAGGCTAAGAACCAGGGAACCAGACCTCCGGGACGACCCAGGGTGCGCTGGGAAGACAACATCCGACAGTCCCTAACTGACAGAGGGCTGGAATGGAACAAAGCCAGAAAGAAAACTGCTGATAGAGACGTCTGGCGATCTCTCTGGCAAACCTCTACACCCCAAGGTAGAAGAGGAGCGACTAAGTAAGTAAGTAAAGTAAGTAAGTAATAACCTAAATTTCTACTATGGAGTGAAAAATTTCTTGAGGCCTCAGAGATCTGGTTTTACAGAAGATACCTTAGAATTCCTTAGATGGCTAAAAGAGTAACCCAGATGTTCAAAGACAACTTATCACAAACAGACAATCAGAGGGAAACTAGACTAGTGGAAAGATCAGTGGAAAGACAGACAGAGGAAGACAGCGCGAGAAGATTCTTGACAGCCTTTCGTCATGGTATGGAGGGGTGTCAACAACACATGTTAACAGGCATGATCGCCCCTGCCATTCGGCAAGCCACTTGATGATGATGATCATTTCTTGCACACACATATGTGTAAGTTTCTGTTTCAATTCTACAGGATGTGCAGGCAATAACTTTTAGCATTCATACAATGTGTCTTGAATTCTATGAGATGTTTAGCATTAATATACATAATGGCTGAAACAATGCTTTCAAAACTAGTTCAGAGGTTATTAATTTTGTTTGTTGTTTGATGCAATTTCCCCACTTCTGGACTGGGAGCCTAAAGGTTCCATCACCTGGCTACTAAACTGAGTGCCTGGTGAGGTACTGTGAGCTGTGGGTTTTATGTGAAATGTGTTTTTTTTTCCCTGTTATGCCAGTAACAGCTTTGTGTTGTGAACTGCACTAAAAATGTAGCTACAATTCTGGTGTGTGACTGTTAGCATTGGTACATCAGATGGCTGCCTTATGCATTTACTTTGCATGTATGAGCCTCAAGATTTTGCTGGAAGGGACTTTTTTTTTTTTTAACTAGTTCTAAATGAGATGGTGAAGAGTATTTTATATGATTTCCACTGGCACCGGAGGGTGCAGCTATGTGGCAACGAATCTGCAGTGAAGCTGGAGCCTAAACTAACGACTCACGTAAACTGTACTCACTTAGCATTGCTTGGATGATAGTGAGTGGCATGAAACTTCTTCAGCTGGTCGTAGGTGAGCTTGGGAATGTCGTTTGGGTGTCCTCCTGATACCACTCCGTATGTGTGGCTTGGCAGGAGGGAGTTCAGGGCTTCTTGTTGGTAGATGCTCTGAGAGTTGGACTGAAGATGGAGGTGAACATACAGTAGATGGATTAACAGACAGTATAAGGCATAAAAAGTGTTCAGTATATAGCATAAGCAGTGTTAGATTACGAAATTTCTATAATTATAATATTGTAAATTTAAAATATAAAAAGAAATAGTATTTAAATGTATAAATAGGTTAGATAAGTTATGTGTTAGATAAGTTGTGAATCAGTGAAAATGACAACAAAAGTATTTTATAACTCTTGGCTCCTGAGGACAGAAACGGAGTTGAGGGAGAATGTACCAAGTTAAGTCAATTATTTCATTTAAGTTTATATTTAAATGTGGATTTCACTACCTGTCAGTAGTGCAAGCAGAAACAGATTATCACTTTCAGACTCCAGCAAATCCCTATGTGCGTTCCAAGGTCCCAGGGAAAAAAAAAAAATTAATAGACCTTCTTCTCCATTGAAAAGCATACTGCAAAAAGTGATAAAGTAAGAGTTTGCTGAAGAAAAAAGGAAGATATCACAACCTAGCTGTAAGCCCCAAAATACGTCCAGCGCCCTTTTAAGAACAAACATAGAAAAAGATGACTCCAGCTGGATCACAACACCATCTTTAAAAAAAGTGTAAAATCATGATTCTGACCGACTGACTTTCTACCCCACCAGGACATCACACAAGCGATAAACACTTGATGACACAAAGTGCCACCATGTGGGTGAGGATCACCGTGGAGAGGTCCCAGAAACCGCGTTCAGACAATTGGCCATATTTATGGCCTGCCTATATTGCGGCCCCTGGCAAAAGCCAGGGTAGGGCTTCAAATAACAAAAAATTTCATCCTAAAAAGGACGAAAATGGATTACACAACAATCATGATTCTACAGCAACAGCTTTAAATACTGTATTTTTCTACTGTCTTTGTCTTCTGCCTCTCATCTCCTAATGAACCCAAAGCCACCCAATCAACAATAAGCAGCTGTAGAACTGTTGTTCATGAGTGGCTGGATTCTGCAGCAATGTTTTTCTACAGCTGTGCTATTGAAGCTTCTGAACTGAAATGCTACAGACAAATTATCAGAATACCATGGGCCAAGAAGAAGAAAAACACTGACATTCTTTATGATCTGAACATTGAGGAATATTGGCTCATAAACAGCATCCTATCCCAAAAGATCTGGTATTTTTGCCTGTCAAATGTCATGGTGGTCGGCAGTGAATGATGATGGAGAGTACAGTTTCTGGAAAATGAGGCACAGGCGAACCTCCATGCACTAGGGTACAAGGTATTGAAGATGCATTTGCTATAAAAGCACATAGGGCTGGAGAACTGGCTAGAGAAAGGGAGACTTTCAGGTCTGTTATAAGGAGAGCGATAATCTGTAAAGGACCTGCTGACTGATGAGAAATTTCCAATGACACACTTTACTACTTCTTTTTCTTCTTCTTCCTCAGCATTCTGAGCCCTTGAGGTTCATAGCTGCAGATATCACCGGCCTCCATTCATCTCTCTGGTTGGCCTTCTCTTTCCAGTTGGTGACACCAAGTGTTTGCAGGTCTGTCTGGATATTATTTCTCCATCGTCTTCTTGGTCTGCCTTGTGGTCTACGACCATTCATCTCCCTCGTGTATACAGTTTTTACTTCTCTGTCGTCTGACATTCTTTCAATATGTCTCAATCATTTCAGTATATTAACTCTCATTATTCCAGTTATCAGTGGTAACACACTTTACACAAACATAATTTCAAAACACAATAATTTAGTCTACTTGCAAACAATTAACCCCTTATAACAGTTAACAGTTACAGACATATCTTCTTGTGACCCACCATAGCGGACATAGAAATGTGCCACGATATCGTTTGGAAAACTCTGTTCTACAAAATAAAGTAATTGAGGAGAAAGAACAGAACACTCAGCACTGGCAAATGTTATCAAAAGAACAAGATAGAGATTGCTTGAACATGTTTGTAGAATGTCTCACGACACTTTGACAAAGGACAGCTCTGCAATGGATAGCAGATGGGAAAGGGAGATGGGGAACATCCAAGGAAACCTGAAGAAAGAAAAGTTAAAGTTAATTGGACGTTGCAGAACCAACCCCAGCATTTTTTGTGTGTGGCTGTTGTGGTTTTTCTAAGCAAATTTACGCCCAGTAGTTTTACAACTGCTTTCTGGACGGTCGGCTTCTTAATACCACTGTTGAAACCAACGCATGGCGCAGAGCCTGCAGCTGGGATCAAACCTGGCACCCCGGCATTACAAAGCGAGTTTGCAACGCCTAAGCCACAGATGTCGACGAAGAAAGAAAGCAGAAAGAGTAAGGAAGAAATGTAAAGTTACATGGGATACCATAGGCAGAAAAGCAGCAGGCTATCAGCAATGGCTATCAGGCTATCACTTCTGAATGCCTTATGTATCAACATAATCATCAGGTGCCTTGCCAACTGGCGTGGGCGATCATGCCTCTCCATAATCAGCAATCTCCTGCAGCATGTATCAGTTCGTGTGCCGACACACCTTCGTGCCATGCAACAAGATTGTCAAGTATTTTCTCTCATTGTCTTCCTCTATCCCTCCTTCCACAGATCTTTCCAGTGGTCACATGTTCTATTTTCCCTCTTCTCATAACATGGCCGAAAAATGATGACTGTCTCCTTCTGATGTCTGTGATAAGTTGTCTTCGGGCTCCTGCATCTTTCCAAACCTCTTGGTTGCTCTTTTTGGCTGTCCAAGGAATTCTAAGCATTCTTCTGTAAAACCACATCTCTGAGGCCTCAAGAAATTGTTTGGCCTGCCTACCGATTGTCCAGGATTCACAGCCATAGTTAAAACTGGATGTATGTAGCAAGCAAGAATTCTTTTTCTAACTCTCAATGACAAAGATATATTGCACAAGATGTTTTTCATTTTATAAAATGCAGTTTTTGCCTGTCCTATTCTGTTTCTTATCTCAGTTATGCATCTTCCATCTGATGTTATCCATGTGCCCAGATACTTAACTTTCTGTACTTGTCCTTAAATAACACCATCGACTTTTATTACACATTTAGGAATAATTTGTTTCTTTGATACCACCATTACTTCTGTCTTCCCATTATTCAGACTGAGGCCCATTCCACTTTCTAACACCACAATGTCTATCATTTCCTGTAGTTCTTTCTGACTTGTTGCTATCAAGACTGTGTCATCAGCATTACGTAAATTGTTTATATTGTGCCCACCAACCACAATTCCGGGCATATCAATTAAAGATCTCATTATATATTCACTGTATATTGAAAACAAATCAGGTGACAGTACACATCCTTGTCGTACACCCCTCTTTGTGCTTTGAACATTTTTTATATCAACACTGATATAAAAAGGATACAGATAGAATAGACAGGACGAGGTAGCTAGAAGCTCAGTTTCACAGCTGCTGAGGTTAAAGTTAAGAGGATGAACTACACTGCCCTGAAGTCTCCCACATGGCTCAGTATCTTTCCCCAGAATGGCTGATAGCCTGCAGAGACCTTGCACAAAGCAAAAACTTGGTAGCTCCAGTGACAATCCCAAAAGATCTCTGTAAAACTTGAACTGAAAGACGTGTCCGTTAAACGACCCCACAACATTCAGAGCGCGAGTCAAGCGTCCTGACCACTTTGCCACATGAGACCCTCAGCACAACTGCATGGAGAGCAAACAGCTAGGAATAAGCTGGAGTAAAGCAAAAACTCTACAAGCAAATACTTACAAAAACACCTTTCATCTCATTGTAGACCACACCTTTAAATATGATTGGTGAATTGGGGTCTGAGAGATCTGTCTGCTCCAGTCTCCAACCTTCCTGGCTGCAACAAAATCATGTTTTTTAAGACTCCCAGTATTTCAACACTGTCACTATGTTTAGATTTAACGATGTGAAAAGTTGTCAAGACATTTCCAGAACAGTGTAGTGTTTAACTCTTTATGGATTATTGACCACTTCAGTGGATTTTGAATCCTTTCCATCTGGACCATTTACCATTAAAGTGGTGCTCCATAAAGACGCTAATATTGTTTCATTTGCTGGGAAAACAAATTTGTACGAACATGTTTTGAAAAACTAGAATTTGTGAAACGAAGTCCTTTCATTTTTGAAGTTCAGCATGATGTTTGCACATCACTTTCTGATTTGTTTTAGATTAATTACATGTCATATCATTGTTATGTAATTTTTCTAGACCAAATAATAAATAAAAATTTCTAGAACTATTCACACTGCTCTGTCATTGATAAATTTCAGCCAGATAGTGACAGTCTTATTATGACTGATGCTGAAAGTGACAAACCTATTAGCGATAATGTAGGTAAGGATGACGTTGAACAAAATATTTCAATTGGATTATCTCTGTTTAAATCAGCTGTTTTTCTGATTTTCGGTTGTTGTTAAGTCTGACATGTCATATAAAAATGGTCATAACATTCAAAGTATCTAAAATAATTGTTTCAAATAAAGACTAGCTCATACATCATTGAACAGCGAATGCATGTGAATTCTTAGAATCGGATAGCAGTGTTGCTGAACAAGTAAAAAAGTAAGGTAAGCACAAAATATTTTGTGTAAATATTCTTCATATGCATCTAACAACCTTGAATGTTGAGTGATTTTAATAATAATATTTTGTTGTAATACTGACAATAAACATGTCTTCAGAATGTTGCAAACCAACCTCATCCTCTATTAATTTAAGTGTTTTAGTTGGCCTTTATGACCATGGGGTGGCAATTGCAGTTTGTAATTCTGAGATACAAGTTTCAATTCCAGCAGCAGACCACTTTAGGCAAGTTTCAACAATGGTATCAATAGTCAAGTGTTCAGAAAGCAATGGTAAACTGCTGAATATAAAACCACAAACAGCCAACAAATGGTGCAGTTTGTTTACAACTTCCTTTGAAGGCTAGGCATCTACTTCAATAATGTGGTTTTTCTAGGCAATTTTACATTTAACATGCTGTTTCTGAATGATAATATGCTTCTTTTTTTTTTTTTTGCGTGTTCACTGGCTGTAAACTCCAGCGGAAAGTTCTGGGTGTTCATCCACCTTGAGACTTTAGTATTGTTCCGGAACCTGAGATGCTCATACCATGTTTAAAATTTACACAAAGCAGTCTACTACCAGACCACTCTCAGCAGATTCAAAGCTAAAGCAAATCAGGATTGTGAAACTGTTACAACTGCTAAGCGACGGAGGCAGACAACACTGACACTCACCAGAAATCCAGCTCTCTGATGAGAGGAAACAAAGCAGCGTCCAAATAGACAGCCATCAAGTTTTTGAAATCCTGCGCATTCTGGCTTGAGAATGGATACATGGTCCAATCATATGCTGCCAGACAAACGAGTAGAGACAAGGAAACGGAGATAAAGAGTCAGAATCATTATGTAGCTGTCTATATTCTCTTCAAGTAGTATTTTTTTTTTAAACGTAAGACATTTACTACAAGTGATCTCTATTACTCCCAGTTTGGTGCTTTTCAACTTGGTATTCTTGGTATCCTACATTCCTTCATCTCCCTGTCTCCTATCCTTCTCCAGGTTTCATCTGTTGTCTACGTTTACTTTTTCCCATCTGCCATCCACCAGACTTCACAATGCCTAGGATACAGCAGACATTTATTCTGAAAGTTTCATTTATGTGTAATTTAGACTGTCATTTCCCAACACTCACTGTGTGTGTGTACAACAGATTCTCACATGAATTCCACTAACAAGTGGTGGCTCCTTCAGGATAGTCCAATAAAAATAGTAACGATGGCACAGTGGTTGGTGCACTTGCCTGCTGAGGCAGTGGTCCAGGTTCAACCCTCAGAAGTAGCAGATTTTACCTCCCTTATCATTAAGGCTTTGGATCGACCCAGTGTCATAAAATGGGTAACATGTTAATTTGTTTAGAACTTTTTGGGATTTGAATGGGAAGGAAAGGTAACAAGAAAGAACCAACTTCGTTGATATCATGTTCTAGAATATGTGAATACCTAATACCTCACACTGTGGATGCGTCATTGTGGCTCTCAATGGGAAGCAAATAATAGTAACACTACCCTACCAGGCATGTCTCAAGAGGTGACTAAGATAAGGGTTGGGCTTGGGGCTACCTACTTCACCCTGCAAAAAAAAAAAAAAAAAAACAATAGCCACAAAAACCAAAGAATCAGGGAAAACTCAGAAAGAGAAACAAGAAATACCAGCCAACCAAGATAGGGGGAGGCTCTTCTAGCAGAAGATGACATGGTGCAGAGAAAGCCAAAAGAGGTCTGAACTTCAAAGTGCTTCCTTCAACCTAGGAAAATCTCCAGAACTGGCATCTGGATTGCTAGAACTTTATACGATGTAGGAAGAAAAATAAAAGTATTAAGGGAAAGGAAACATTACAGTATTAGTATTTTAGGATTTTTTGAAACTAGATGGACCAGGGCAGAGTAAGGTATTCTAAATTAAGGTGAAACAATTTGTTTTTTCTCAGGACATACAGAGGAAAATTCCTCCCAACAGTGAAGGAGTGACTCTGAGGCTATCTAAAGAGTCAGAGAGGGCACTAAAATAATGGAAAGAAGTGAGTCCTATAACAATAAGAGTGTCTTTTAGAACAATGAAAGAGAAAGTGAGCATGTTGGTAATACAGTGTCCTGCAGCAACAAATGATAAGGAAGAATCAGATAATGACATGAAAAAAGGGTCCTTTACTTTTCTTCATATAATAAACTGAATGCTTGGCACAGCTGTGCTGAGGTTCAAACTCAACTAAATATTGGATAAGAAGAATTTAGTGTTACAACAGCAGCAATGATCATGACATCAACAAGTGAACTAACCTGTGAGAGCATTCATGTATGTAGCCATGGACCTGCTGATCATCTTGAAGAAAGGATCTCGTACTGGGAAGTGTTCAGATCCACACAGTACAGTGTGCTCAAGGATATGTGGCACTCCAGTACTGTCCATGGGAGTAGTTCTAAATATGACACTGCAGATAAAAGGAACAGTTGCAAGCATGGTCTCAGAACTGTTTTATTTCAATACTTGCATTTCACTGAGTATGTTCCAGGATCCATTTGTGTGGGGCGGCACAGATATTGCAGCTAGCTATAAACTACAACATTTTGTACTTTTGCCAGCAAACACATCCAAATTCAAAAATCCAAACACACTCCACCATTTGGTGGGAAGGAAGAGGTTTTTCATCTGGAAAGTCTCCTGGGATAACAGGCTATCCGACATGCTCCTTTCATTTTTCAATTACTAATTACTTATTTCTTTATGTGCAGGGTTTCAAGTTGTTCAATTTAACCAACAAAGATAGACACTATATCCAATACCTCATGATTAGGAGGAAGTACAGCAACTTATTCTGTTATAATCCAGTCAATAGTGAGAAACAGACTAAGTATGTTTGAGCCAACTGGCATGCAGTAACCCGTAATCTACTCAAAAATAATGGACACATAACTGTTTATAGGATACAATATTCTTCTTCTTCTTCTTCAATCCTTCTCCCGCCTCAAAAACTTATATCAGGAGTTGAAACTTATAGCCTGTGCCCAATCTTCCTGCTATCGTGCAATCCATATCCTCTCGTGTACCATACAGTTTTGTCTTCAGTGTGGTTGGAACAGGCCAGATTGCGTCTCTGTTGTCAGCATACAGTTGACAGTTAGGATACCATGATAGCGGAGGTCTAACTGGGTGGCTCAGTTCAGTCATGGGATGGGGGGGGGGGGGGGGGGGGGGAGAGAGACGGGGGAGACAAAAGAGGGGAGACAAGGAAGAGGTGAAGGAAGGAGGACAGAGTGATGGAAGGAAGAGAAGGAAGGAGGGACAGAGGAGGGAAGAAAAGAGAGAGAAAATGGATAAGCAAAAAAGAACACAAGAAGAGATGAAGAGACAGGGACAGATAACAGATGGAGGGAAACAAGAAACTTTCCAACTAACAAAAAAAAAAAGGCTGCTGCTAAAATTATTTTTTTTTTAGTACCAACAAAGGTAAATGTGCAACAAATTTTTGCCCACAATACTTCATAAAATAAAATGTAAAGAATCTTATATCAGCTACACCGTGGATTCAAGAACTTTCTCAAATTAGCCACATGGTGGCTTCAAGAAATTTCTCAAACCACCCATATGGTGGATTCAACAACTTTAACAAATCAGCCACATGGCGGATTCCGCCAATGATGACACCTTTTTTTTAGGGGTGCCTAGTTGGTCATTTTCTTAATACATGATTCCATAGCGAGGCGCACATGCCATTTGGAGGTAACAGGTTAGATTTTTGGACAGTAACTATTGCTTTTGATTTTTATGTTGTCTAGTGTGTCCTTCTATCTTTCTATTTCCTTCTATGAGTGCCGATCAATAAACTGTGTTTATTATATGGTGGATTCAAGAACTTTCTCAAATTAGTCACATGGTGGATTCAAGAATTTTCTTAAATCAGCCACATTGTGGATTCAAGAATTTTCTCAAATCAGCCACATTGTGGATTCAAGAATTTTCTCAAATCAGCCACATTGTGGATTCAAGAATTATCTCAAATCAGCCACATTGTGGATTCAAGAATTTTCTCAAATCAGCCACATTGTGGATTCAAGAATTTTCTCAAATCAGTCACATGGTGGATTCAAGAATTTTCTCAAATCAGCCACATTGTGGATTCAAGAATTTTCTCAAATCAGCCACATTGTGGATTCAAGAATTTTCTCAAATCAGTCACATGGTGGATTCAAGAATTTTCTCAAATCAGCCACATTGTGGATTCAAGAATTTTCTTACAACAGCCCATAGAGGATTCGAGATAATTTTCTCATATCAGCCACTTGGCGGAGGCAAGGATTATTTTTCTAAAATCAGCAACATTGTGGATTCAAGGATTATTTTCTCATATTTGCAACATGGTGATTTCAAGAGTTATTTGCTCAAACCAGCCACACTGTGGATTCAACAATTATCTTCAAACAGACTGGATCTGACCTGAAAGTGTTATTGTCATCATCTCTGGCAGTATGAAGGTGTTGGGCACCAGTCTTATCATGTGTCAGCATTGCTGCTGTGATGAAAAACTCTGGCACCTCTTGCACCTGAAATCGTTAATGGTTCGGAATTTTTACAGAATATAACAGATTTCATAACTGTTTAAATACGACTATCATCATATAGCAGGTCATTTGCAGAAAACCACTGCCCTTTTTGGCATGTCAGAATACCTCACTGTTATTCTTGTCTCATACATTTTCATGCCCATTGGCCTCTAATGTCTTGTGTTGCACTTCATGCTGGTCGAACCCTGCCTCTTCTGCCAGAACTCTGCATGCCATAATGTTTTATGTAAGCCTCTTCAGTGTTGTTAATTTAAGTCTTCTTCTTCTTCTCTTCCACCTTGTACCTCATCGAAATGTCGGGGGGAGATGTAATGTTTGTTGATAGGCTCTGTCAAGAGCACTATTAAAACTGATGTTCATTTCTGTAAGGCTGTTCTTAATGCCATCACTCCATATTTTCCGAGGTCTTCCACTCGCTCTATACCCGTTGTAACGTATTCACCAGCTGTAAACTCCAGTGTAGAGTTCTGGTTGTTCGTCCACTTCTGGACGTTGGGACTTGTTCTAGTGCTTAAGTTTTGCATGTATATCTGTTTTACAGATATAGCTTTTTTATGTGCAGACAGCTGGTTCCTAGCATCTCTTCCCTGCCTCTCCCCATGAGGTCCTAGAACCCACACAGGAAACTTCAGTGTTTGATATGGCCAGAGTATTTTAGCTCCGAAACAAAATGGTGTTTATCAAGGTTTTACTGGGTGTATGCAACGGTATACAGCACCAGCACTTTTTTAGGCATCATTTTTTCAGGGCTACTTAACAGACACTTTATGGTGAGTACTGGCATATTTTTTTCAAATAGACAAAAACCCTGGTGTTTTATGTCCCCAAATATGCTAGTCATTACCTTACCTCAATCTACTTTTAATTTTGACCCTCCCCTTTCAAAGTGAAATAACCTCACACTCTCCTGTTATACATTTTACAAGCTAATGACATCACTTTCATTACAGGACAATCTCCACTGCCAGTAGGGCATATTATCCAAAAGTGCTCTGATCTTTTTCCAAGCCTGTTTCTTAGTGTGTTCTTCTTTTGCCTTCTATCCTCCAATGGAGCATAGACCCTCAACAAACTCATGCCAAGTTGTTCTATCCTTCGCTATTTCATGCAGCTCTCAATCTAGTTAATTGTTTTCAGGTTTTCTCAACGTGTGTCCTATCTAATGCCAGCATCTTTTCTTCCTCTCTTGGTCAACTAGAACTTGTTTAGTTCTACCCCAAAGCTCAACATTAGTGATTCTATCATACCATTTAATTCCCTCTATTCTGCACAGGCACTAGTTAATGAATGTTTGTATTTCATTAGCAACTGCTTAGTTGTTCTCCAAGTTTCTGCTCCATACAACAATACTGATTTGACATTAGATTTTAAGAGTTTAAGTGTTAGTTTTACATGATACTTATCATGAAAGTCACCCCATCTCGCTCGTGCAAGAGATTTCGTGCCAGCTCCAGTTCATGTCGCCCTAGTTCCCACAAGCTGTCCTATGTTGTGGGGCTGTTACAACGTAACTTGCCTCGCCTTGTGTACATACCAGTTTCAAAAAAAAGCTGCCGCAGGTTTGTTTTTGCAATCCTGTTTGCTGTGAAGGGCAGGTCTCAGGTGCCGAAGCGCTGCGTACGAGGTTCACGTACTGCAGGAGGAAGCACTAAAGACTCGATTCTTCGTGAATATCAAATCACTGATTTTTATATTATTAAGCTTGTTGGTGGTGGTTGTCGTCGCTGGTGGATGTGCCTGAAACGTTGAAAACGAGGAACAAATGACACCCCTATACTATAGGAGTGTTTCAGGAAATCCCCTACAAAATCAAACAGCTGTGTGAATTGTTGACTTTCATGACTTATACCGTTTTAATTTCTTTAGTGTGTTTATGCTGACAACTGTTTTTGTTTGTATGAGAGAGAGACACAGAGAGAGAGAACAAATAAATAAATGAACAAACAGAAAACTGACATCACTGTATGCACTCATGATATTCCCACTGGTGCTGTCAAAATTAAGGGTAACACATCCTTCAAACCATACAAACCACACTTCTCAAGAATTAAATGTCTTTTCAAAAGATGAATTTCTTTAAAAGGACAATAGAATAGAAAACAGTCTTACTTTCTGTACTGTATATCCATGTAGCTTATCTCCTGATTTCAGTGCTCGGACCCGATCTCTAGCCTCTTCACTGAAGTAACGGCCATACCTTGCTCTAAAGATCAATATCATAAATCATCATCATTACCAGGCAAGCCAAGGTATTCACAACATTTATCTTCTTCTTAGCATTCACTCGGGGGAAGTTTGAGTTGTTCATCCACTTCTGGACTTGAGCCTTGTTCCAGAATTTGAGTTTTACGTGCACACCCGTTTTACAGATCTAGCTTATTTGTATGCAGACTGTTGGTTTCTTGCCTTTCCGACAGATGCACCCTGATTCTTGTTAGGGAGCAGTGGGTGTATTCCTTTCTCCATTAAAATGGGGCCCCTTAGGAGCAAGAGTGCATGCATGCATGTGTATGTAAGAGTTTGAATGTGTATGTCGGTGTGTGTGTGCCCGTGTGTAAATATCTGTGTCTGTGTGTGTGTCTGCATTTGTGTGTGCCAGTGTGTCTGTATAAATGCATGTATGTGTGTGTGTGTGTGTGTGTGTGTGTGTGCATGTATGTCTGTCTTGTCTCTGTATGTTTCTGTGTGTTAATGTGTCCGTATGCATCTATGCCTTATGTATGTATGTATGTATGTATGAATGTGTGTGTGTGTGTATCTGTGTATGTAAGTGTGTGTGACTGTGTGAATGTATGTATGTATGTGTGTATGTATGTATATATGTGAGTGGGTGGGCATGTGTATGTGGGTGTGTGTATGTGCGCACACATTTTACTAAACATGCTTTTGTGTTTTTTCTTGATATTCATATTAATATATGAACATAACATGCTTTACTGATAAAATACAACTGCTGGGTGAAAGATGGGTGTTGGAAAGGGTCAAATGTAAGATGGGCCTGCATACCCAATTTTTGACCCTTGAAAATAAAGTTTGTTCGTTCCTGCAGGTACAAAATGGAGGATAACCAGCTGGTCATATACTGGCAATATTTCTAGCAAGGTTTTGTGGTTATCCTCCGAATAACGGGCACAAAAGATGGCGGCCCAAAACAGGGCCACAGTCACAGTCACAGGGCCACGCGTGAGCGGCGTGGAGTACTCTTGGCAGTGGTGGTAGTCGCCGGGAAACCGCAAATTAAGTCGCCTGAAGTGCGCAATTGACACGTGACTGAGGCTTTGTTAGGGTGTTTTTGCGGCCGCCATCTTGTGTGCCCGTTATTCGGAGGATAGCCGGTTTTGTAAATGACTGCCTGCATCAACTGCACTTCTGGACCAATTTAAACTTTTATTTATCAGACACTATTGTCTATCCAGTGGGTCTTTTTTTTTTTCATCATTTTAGTGAGTGAGAAGAGAATGAACAAGTATTATATCATAAAAACTAATGTCGGCTATCCTCCGAATAACGGTCCCAAATTATTGCGGCCGAAAATATACCCTAACAAGGCCTTAGTCACATATTAGAGATTGACAATTAAAAGCAAGCGAATAAAACTTAAATTAATTAACTAGCTTTCAAACATATAGATGTTCAACTATTTACTTCACTAAACCAATACAACAACAGACAGTGAAATGAAAGTGAGACAAGTACAAAGTCAAAGTTTAACAAACCCGGTAAACGGCGCCGCTTTTAGGAGACTGTTTACTGCAAAACTAGCCCTTCGGATAATTTGCAT